ATATATATATATATATATATATATATATATATATATATATACGTCGAAACATTCATGATATGATGAAACTTTGCAAGCGTAATTAACCAACAAATTGCACAATAGAAATCAGGAAAAAATTCTGTTTACTAAAAACTTTAATTAAGAACCTGTATGAACTCGTTTATGCGCGGTGAGGTTGGCCGCCTGTGAGAAAGACTTGCCGCATAGCTAAAAAAAGGTGTTGATTGATTGATTTTCGTAGTAGAGCAGATCAGAAACTGTTGACCTAATTAGGAAGGGACACCGCCTTTTTTCACAGATCCTCACAGTTTTCCGCTGCCTGCGGACCTTCTGGTTTTCAACAACAAAAATTCCTTCGCAATAAGTGGAGGGTGAGGGTTTTGAACGAGATAGGATCGTAGAACACATCTTGCTCTATCGTTCTATGGTTATGAGTGGTATATGTACTGCTATTTACCGTGCGTCACTATGTTCCATTAACAATAAAGGATAAAGCTGTCGGCGTTGATCAATCCCTGTGGGATGTGCGTCATGTATTCGACTTGATTAAACATTGTTGGAGGTGAATGGATCCGGCCTTTCCAATAACTCGCGGTGGCCTACCGATGCAGCGAAAGAGTGCTGCTATCCTCCCAAGCAAGCCTGGTACCAATTTGCCGAACACGGCGGAATGGAAGGCTTGGTGGGGCCTGGGTGCGGGATCGATCCCACGTACATTAACGGGCGCCTCCGACCACTATGCTACATGCGTTCCTATGATCCATTATGCAATTAATAGCTAGTAGCACTGGAAAGAGCTTTACGCCCTTTGTTGAGTCTACTTTGATGTTTTTCATATCCACGAATTTTCTCCTCTCATCCCTACGACTTCGATCTGCTTTCGATTAACTATCGAATGAGTATACATAGAGCTGCAAAAAAAGCTCTGGAACCCTCTAAACTGAATATGGACCCTATAGTGTCCAAACGACGCGGTATGGATAAAAATGCTTAGTATGGCAGTCATCGTTTAATTACAGCGGCTTTCTTGGAAATTCAAGACAATTTCGACGGGATTTTTGGTGCTGTTCATGTTGCTTTTGCTCTAAGGCCTATAATTAAAATGGTCAAAATCAACGCACATTTGTCAGAATGCCTCATTATTTTCGCATTGAAATCAATGCGAAATCATTTTGCGAATGTCTTGCCGTAAATAAGAAGAAGTCGAGCGAATTACTTCACTAGCATTATTCAAGACCTGTAGTCTTTTATACAGTTACCTGACATCTGAATGGTTTACTAGTCTGAACAGTGCGTGGCATCGGTCGGGTTAAGAATGTCGGCTTTACCTCCACGGGATTGATGGCGTTTGCATATCTGACATCGAAACGAAATCTTTTTTTTCTAGTTTTGCTAAAAATTCCATGATTTTTCATCTGCTTTATTGAGCTGACTTTTTATCAAATAAGAGGATAAGATAGTGATAAAGGACAAATCGATATGTTACTTCTTGGTTCATCTTCACAACGTTTCTGTAAGAGAGAAGCACCAACCTTCCGTTAAACTGGAAGGAACAACTCAAAAAAGATCCTTAGGGCGCTTTTGTTTTTGTCGTTCATATTCCTTTTGCTGCAAGTAGAAAATTACCCGTATGCCCGATGTTCTCCAGGAAGACTATGCAGAATTTGCGGCGGCGGTATCCATTCGGTCGGACGTGACCAATCAGGCCGCCATCCATATGGAATCCTAAACTACCGTAACCAAGTCACAAGGCACGTAGAACTTAACAGTGATCAATAAAAGGTGTAACCGAGGATATATTGACTCTAAGGTAACACTGATCATCTTGCACATTGATCGTTTCGTGAGCGATTGCTGACGATCGATATACATGAAATCAAAGAAGTCATCGAGAGCAGAGGGACTAACAGTGAACTACTCTAAAGGTGATTTTAATGCTCTTATGTACTCCGCTAAAAACTGAAACGCCAAGCTTTATTTTTCAATAAACCCTGTTTTAAACCAGGAAATAATAAAATTTTCAGCAGACCTCAAATAGTTTGATTTTTCAACATCTTTTCCATCTGTTCTGCACGTACTCTACACTTGAGGTACAACGCAGCATCAACAGTTACTTAATCATTGATAATGCAGAGTAAGTAAAAATAAAAGCTAAATAGAAGAATAAAACTGTCGGCGTTAATCAATTCCTGAGGAATGGGCCGTGCATCCAATTTCATAAAGCATCGTTTGGAGTGACTGAAAGCATATTTGGCCTTTGCAATGACTCTCGGTAGCCCACCGATGAGCCATCGCTGCCATCTTCCCAAACAAGTCTGGTACCGATTTGCCCACCCCAGAGGGATTAAGGGCTTGAGGGGTCTGTGGCACAGGGTTGGATTCCACGTGTGTATTGTAGGGCGCCTCCGAAAACTACGCTACACGAGACCTGGTAGGTAAAAATAGGTGCCACTGTGCTTCATGGGTGATAGTAGCAAAAAAATAAATTTAATCCTTATAATTCAGTGGACTAGAAAGTTCAGATCGAACTGCATGCCCATATAATCCCATTGTAGGTTTTTCACATGCAACAAAAATTAGGGCAACAAAGGAGCGAAGAATTCCATTATGCTTTGTTTCTTTGAACTTTTTAAAGTACTTCCTATAATCTGAAACAAGAGGGGCAAGGATTCAAAGGGTCAATGGAGCCCACTCACAAAAATTCGATTGCCTGTGTGATGATAGGTATGAGGTAAGCGCTGGGTACGAGAGGAGCTACGATATGCAACAATGTGTGGCATCGTATCACGTAAAGTACAAAACAATATTTCGCCCATTTTTTTTGTAAAATTGCAACTTACGTTATGGGTTGGAAAAGTCATGGCGCCATTGGGCTGTCTCAATGCGGTATTCCAAGTGAAGTGGTATGAGTAATTTCTAGTGGGGCATTCCAACAAACAAGGCAATGACCGTTCTATGTTTTCAACAAATCATACTCATCATGATCTCAGGGCGCTGATTCTCAGTAGTTAAAGAACAAAACAAAATCCGCACAGTTAAGTAGCTGATTAGCGTTTTAACTCGGGCTTGGTACCATTCAAACTTATGAAATCTAGCAAGAGATTCCAGTTGAATTCATCCCAAGCTCTTATATTAACCTAAGTAGAACAGGCAAAATCATAGCGATATTGTATACCGTATTTGTTTTTCATTAGAAAAGTGGTTAATACATAATCCACAGCGTTCATTGAAAGCGCAGTCTTCTAGAGGGATCCGCTTCTTTCACTTTACTGCAGTCCATGGCTAGAGCAAAATTTATGTAATGCATTGTAATTATCAGGAAGAAAACAGTTGAAGCCTTGTTAAACAATTTAATAAAGAACATCAAAGAAATGTATTGATCGAAATCATCGATCAAATCAGATGATTGGATCAATTTGTGGCATTTCATAAAGATTCTAAACGAGGAAGGGTATTGAGGGTGAAGGAGACCACTCAGCTTGTGCTTATCATAGTAAACTAGTGGTAGATAGAAGTGAAGTCGTATCATGCAATAAAAACCTAAAGCCTTGCACCCTGCAGCCCTTCACCATGATTCTTTCTGGGGTTTCCAATAAGGTTTAACCTCGCCAAATTTCACTGTGATTCTGTTTATGCAGCATAGAACGCTTAGTTTTCTAGTAGTATTCCCGTCCAAACTAAAAAACGCGTTGACATTTATCCAAACAGGAAATAGTCAACCGCATACCTGTTTACTATATTGCTACAGCTGTTGGTTTTTCAAAGATTTTAAGTGAACTCTTTTGAATGACAAGTTTTCATAAACTCACACAGGTTCGCCAGTGATTGTTGGCTCTGTGGTTGTGGAATTTGACGGCTGGTAGAAGTCATATGGAGAAGCTGATATTTGGTTCAAATAACTGGGGTCAAAAAACTCTGCTCGCTCGTAGCCGGTATAGTACGACATCGTCTGAGTGATAGAAGTATGGTGGAGATAATCGTGAGCCACCCACCTGCTTATGTGAAGAGCACCCAAGACTACGGTAAATACAGATGACAGAGATACCTAATCCGTTAGCAACTAATCCCACCTGTGGGCTTCATCTAACCATCGACGTCAAGATTCATAACCATTACGTTTATTCACAAAACGTTTCAGTCAACTAGTTAAATTGCGAAACTTAAAATCACTCCAGAAAAGAATTTTCAGCTGTTTTTAAACCACACCATGACAAAGAGTTGTTCGTTTATGTCAACCTATTGTATCCAGAACTGAGTTTATTTCTCAGTGCGATTGCCCTATCTGAGAAAGAGATAGGCATTTTTATGCGAAGGCTTAGATAAAAGTAAAACACTGTTAGTAGATGTTTCTGTAGTGGGAAAAAAACCGATGACAATACGAGGGACGACATGAGATCATGGGGACATCCTGGTACGTCTCGGAAACATAATCGGACTTCCACCGAGATGAGGCCAAAGACATCATCACATGAAGTTATCAGTATAAGTTAAACGAGAGTAATCATTTTCAATTGTACGTACTTAAATCATATACGACGTTTCCTAGCTTACCCGTAACCTTCTTTCTATCTTCTGAATAAAAGTTCACAATAACTTTTCCAATTCTGTTGTCACTCACCGTTATTTGCTTACTGCCTCTTTTTCCTCATGATTCCATCATTCCTTTCCTAGGCATACTGGTACTCCTTTTGTGCTTTATTTTTGGCTTTTCTGAATTTATCAAAACCGCTCCAAGAATTTTACGGGCCGATGCTTTGAATTCCTGTACAAAGATAGCGACTGTTACTTCAAAGTCTTCGCTATGTTTCCGTATCCAGTGAGCGCCTAGTGGAGTACTTTCTTTAATCAACCAGTTGTTCTCTTACACGGACGCAGAGTGAACTGCCCGTTTGCTAATGCCTTTGTCCTCGCACGTTTTACAAGAGATCTTATTGACAACACCGGACTCGTACAATCACCACCTGCACCGTTAAGGCATGTTATGCAATTTTGTGTTATGCATAGGCGGTTAGCAACAAGCTAGAGTATTAGAGTACTCGGTGGTATTTCATCATAGCTACCGAATTCTTTAGACTGGCTCTTTTCAAGCAACGTCACAAAGCTGCAGTTATTTCATTGGATATGAAGGCCAGGGTAAAGAGTCTTATTATCGCCAGAATTATCCTTTAGTATCCTAAATTTCCCTCTACAACTAGCCTACAACTAGCCCATGAGCCATTCGTAGTGACCGGAAATGGGCTCTTCCTGTTTCCCTTCTTCCAAAACTACTGCTCTGTTTTTGTGCACACACTGGTGGCTGTTCGAAACATGCTTCTCATAAGCGCCATTATTCTTTGCCAGAGTGAGGTGATAAGTAATGATATAATCCAGTATTCTGGCTTTCGGTAGTATTTGGTAATGTAGCCGTTTTTGGATAGGTTAATATAAACCCTCAAAAGCTAAAGTCGATCTTCTTTCGGTGTCCTCAAGTGGAATTTATCTATTCTGACTGCTCGTTCAATAACTAAAAACATGTGTCCATCTCATGGAGCAGATGACAGAACAGACGCCGATCTATCTAGAATAGAGTGGTGGCCGCAGAGTACGACGGCTTCAACTTTAGGCATCAACGCAATGGGAAGGATTGGCGCCAGTCACTGGCCCATTGCCAACCCTCTAATTTGTGCGTAATATTTCCCGGATAATCTGAAGATTGAGCAGTTTAAGCACTTTTTTAAGGTGGGCATTAGCTGGTGAATCGAGAAGCCTTTCACTTTTATTGCTCCTTAATGTTCCATGAGTAGCTCGTGAATGAATTGCATTGCGGACCTCGGGTGCAGTGTCCTCTGTAAAGCATGTGATAACGTGTTTATTGGTGACTCGAATAGAACTCTGCGTTCGTATAGAAGAACACATTGATGAGAGACTACAGGTAGAACAGTACGCCCCACTAGACACGCATAGAGCACAAAGACATAAGGGAGAAGTTTTGAAATAGAAGTCACTGCCCTGGAACAGCAATCCAAAACACTAGCGCATAAAACCCTTGGCGCGCTTTGGATTAATTCCAGGAATTTGAAAATGGACCGAAGGAAAAGTACTTTGTGACCATGTGTGACTTCCTGTCCTACCTGAGATTGATTTTTTCACCTGAGCCAGGCACATTACTTCCCCACATAGAACTTTGTACAGCTGGTATCCACCTGGAAGGGTTAAGAAAACAAAAGTGGAGATTGTTTAAAAGAAGCACTTTACTCGGCGAATAAAAATTTATACTCTAGGATTATTAAGCAAACACAAAGTTGAATATAAAAAAGTTTATTCGGCTAATATTTCTACGTGTTCGTCCTTCTCACAGTCGGGTTGATTCGGGCCGATGGTCCACAGATCGCTGTCCTCGCCATGTGGTTGCTCGTTGTTCCACATAGTCGAATCCTAGTGGAATGGGAGCACCGCTGGAATGGGGGACCTCACCTGGCAGTTTCCTTTTATGGACGACAAATGTTGATCGATTGTCGCCATCCAATCTGATCTGCTTTTTTGGCGGCAATGCCTCCTGCGACGATCGACATCATATTAGCTATCACGATAGCTTATATATCTATTTTTATTTGTCGAGGTTATGAAAGTGTTTATTGATGTTGTGATGAGTTGATGGGGTGTCGGTTTGACCTTTCCAGGTTTTGAAGAGGACGAAATCGCCGAAACGTCAGCTACTGTGAATGAATGAATGCTGTGATAACAACTTCTTGTTTGCTCAACAAGAAAAGAACAAATCAAGGAGAGAGTAGACTGTTTTTTGCTATGTTGAAAATAAATCTGCTTATCTATGAGTGGTTTAAATTAAGAACAAGGGATAAAAATTAAGCCCACATATATTTCTCATCAAATATCTACAGCTGGTTAGTTGTGAGAGCCACGCAACGCATCCATGTGTAGAATGGTAAAGTATTAAACGTAGACCAAAATCATTTTTGTACCTACCCTAAAACACGGTTGGATTCAGAGAACGGACTCCCTGTCTCTGATTTACTTTTCTACATACGTATCATTTTGCCCGTATTCCTGCAATGTGGTTTACCGGTTCATCGTGACTAGAGTGTGTTGTGATGTGGAAGCCCATCTCCCAGCAGCGACTCTTTGGTTTAGAAGCACTCTGTCATTTCCGTACGGAATAATAACTAAGGAACACTGCTTCTAGAAATTACTCCCGTCCTGATAGCAACTCTAGTCACAAGGTGCCGTATTTTCTTCACATCGTTTAAGTTAGCGGGTATCTGTAGTATGTTTTGGAAACAACTTAACTCAGCTGTTGTGGCACTTCATGTTAAAAAGGTTGCCAGCAAACCAGCAGTAGAAAGGAAATCAATCGCGCTGGGAGTTGCAAGATTCTGCGTGAAGACAGAACATGCTAGTATTTAGGTGGATGTGCATCTAAACATATCCACAAACACATTGGTGGTAACAGTAGCGTATGCGTGGACTCACGGCGTTTGCTAGGATAGCATAGAGAACCAGCTAACTTCATGCCTTTTAATGCTAACAAGGCCTGAACCAATTGGTGATGTTGACTATGACGGCTATGTATGACGTCTTTTAGACAGTTGTGAGCTGTCTTAACAGAACTTTCGCTTTAGATCCAGAGTATTTTCTCTGAAAACAAAGCTGCAGAATATCATAAAGAAGCTAGGAAATGAGACCTGCTTTTGTTTATCATTGTTTTCGCGTTGACTATCAAGAACACATCTGGAATCATTTTTAAGAGCATTCACTCAAGGGTGAACCTCATTGTCGAGTTGCAAGCGGTCAGACGTGGCAGTGATGAAAACCGAAGATGCACTGGAAGACATGCCGAAGGAGCGAGAGGACATAATTCAAAGCAAGAAAGCCACTTACGAGGTCAGATGTGCCAAAAATCAGGCTACCTGTGAACGTGATTTAGCTGGTTGTAACCATAAACAAACGCTCACCGAATGAAACACTGTCCGGTCAATCAAATGTCACCACAATCCTGTACTAGTAACCAGGAGTAGTTTAGCAAGTGTCTCATCTCTAATAAAAAGCTTTCAGCTAACAACGGTAGTAAGTCTCATAAAAATTCGTTGATCGCCGTCTGACTGATAATACCACTGTTAATATTGTGCATACCGGAGACAATCCGCAGGTCAGCGATTAATAGCTGTGGTATGAACGAAGTTAGGTACATAATAGCTAAGCAAAAACGTTTGACGTGGCCCCCAAAATCACCTTGTTATTAAAGGAGGTCGGAGTCATGGAAATATTTGCCTTGACATCTGCTGTGCATACGGAACTGAACCGGGGAAGATCAAAGAAAATCGTAAAATTACAGCAAATCTGCTGGTGATTGTGCTTTTACTAAAGCTTTGTAGACTTCCGCCAGTTCTATGAGGATTGTCGGCGAGCATTATCATCATTATCGGTATCACTATCCTGTTTAGATCATGGAGGTAATCGGAAAAGGCTCATTCGGCGCCGTATTTCGAGTGCGACGACTAGAAGATGGTAAAGAATTGGCAATGAAATGTGAATCGTATAAAGTAAAAAAGCAGGTGCGAACTTTTTATTTCAAAATATGTGACCTACGATCGGAAACAGCGGAAGGAGTCTTGAACGAAAGTGATACTGTGGTGCAGTGTGGTATCACTACTATTCAATTCATGCGTCGCACACTTCACCCTATCAATCGATGCCTATCATATCAGTGTCAGCTGTGTTATTAACCTATAGGCGCTGAGAGACGGGTCAAACAAAGGACTCACATGGTGTGGTGGTGAACGCGTTAGCACCCGGAAGGGACAATAGCGCGTTCGTTCCCCACAGGAGACACCAGCGGTCTGGAGTTTTGCAAATATCTAAGCAACATCGCGGTTATATTTCACCTAATACCATGCAATTAAAAATTAGAACTCAAAAAACCCAGTACATAAAAATTGACGACATTAATTAGACAGATTAGACAGTGTTCACTTAATATCTGTCCAGTGATTGGATTTTTGATGATTAAGTTGCTGTTATGACTTTTGCGACGACGCCTAGCTCGGGTTTGTTTCGGAATGGATGACGCCCACTTTTCAGCATTTATGGGCTTGCTGGTCTTCTTTAAACTAGTAATAATTTTGTAATAAATAGAGAGCTTTGTGGGTTCTGAATATGAATGGATTGTAGAAAAAATTTTGCTCTATCGTTCTATGGATGTGAGCGATATTTCTGGTGCTATTTACTATGTTTTTTATAAGCAAGAAGGATAAGGTACTACGACGTCATCGGATTGGCCGTGACGAGATGACGCGAACCATTCGGAGCCATCTATAACACCGTGGATGGATTGTCCCTCTGAACATGCGACAATAGAGGAGTCGACAGTGTCGGCGTTCTCGTCAACACGAATTTGGCCATTAACATCGATTAATGCGAAAAACTAGCAACCCGAATCAAACGTTTGCGATTGAAGATCTGCAGATCAATACCGGCTTTAACAATCTTCGTCGTCTACACAACGACATCAAGCTGTGACAAAGAAGTAGTAGCGTTTTATAAGGACTTGGAGAAGTTCTACAGAGAAAAACATACATTCTTCAAGGTCATCGCTGGAAATTTTAATGCTAAGATTGAACCATGAAGAACGTTTGAAGAACGCCACATTGGGACCCACGGATTAAAATGGAACAAGAGGGAGAGCGGTTATCGGAGTTTACAACTACGATCGAGACCATTCATGGTAGCTCGCAATTCCATAAGCCCCACTCTTAACGATGAAAATGGGAGTCTTCCATAGGAGAGTACCATAACGAAATAGACCACATAATAGTAAAATGAGGATTTTTCCTAACCGATGTCGCTGTTGTCCCAAAATTCTACGCGGGACCAGACCATCGAGTTCTTTGTGCAAGAATTCATTTCTCGCAGGATGGAGAAAAAGCGGCTAAATTCGAAAAACGAAGTTCCAAAATCACCATAAACTGGAACCCATTCAACCTATTAGTCGGCTGTTGGGAAGATGCCGTTGTCGATAACATCGACGAGGAATACGATCGACTCACTCAACATCTTCACGTTAGTCTTATGAAAGCTGAGAGTTCGAAAGCCACCAAGAGATGTCTGTCTCCTGAAACACTCGAGCTAACACACCAGCGTGGAATTGTACAAGATGGAGGCAACCGCAAACTAACGTCCAAACTTGCAAAACATTGCAGAGAGGCGATATTAGATCTTAAAGAGTGAAAAGCAGTAGTTATGATCAAAGTTGCAGAGACTGGAAGAAGCATTCGCAAAGCCCACCGAAGTTTCGCCAATTACGAGACCAAAATGGGTGCCCTTCGACGCCCAGACGGAGCAGCTACAGCGTCCAGGAAAGCAATGAAAAAAATCATTCACTATTACTTTCTTCGATGGTTTTTTCAATCGATACGTCCTCCTGCCCTCATACGAAATAAAAGAGGATGGATATAGTTTACCATCGGTTCCCCTTCCCGAAATCTCACATGCTATTTCGTCGGTGAAAAATCGAACAGCACCAGTTCCGGCCAGGATAAAATCTGAACACCTGAAAAACCTTCCGCCGGTCCTTGTGAACACGCTGGTTCGGTTCTCCACACGTTACCTGTCTGAGTGAAAGGTTCCTACTTAAGAGAAGATCAGAAGGACCATGGTGCTGTTTAAGAAGGGTGACCTCCACGATATGGCGAACTATCGCCCAATCTGCTAGCTGTCTGTCGTCTACAAAGTTTTCGCTCCAGTCATCCTAAACAGGTTTGACAGAACACTGGTCGGAAGACATCCATGCGAGCAAGCAGTGTTTCTAAAATTATTCACTACGATGTGCAACATCCACACGATAACAAGACTCGTTGAAGTATCGTGAGAGAACAGAAGTCCGCTCCGTCTCGCTTCCATCGATTTAATGAAGACTTTTTAGCTAACTTAGATAGAAGCTGCCATGGAAGCCTTTGATAGTCAAGGAGTCCCTACTCAGTACATGAAGATTCTTCATGAGCTGTACAACAATTTCACAGCCAACATATGACCATTCTAAAACGATATTAACATTCACGTCAAAAGAGGAGTTAGGTAAGGCGATGCCATCTCGCCAAAATTATTTACCGCTACCCCCCAGACCGTCATGCGAACATTGGAGTGGCATAACATGGGAGTGAAAATCGATGGTCGACAATTACACCATCTTTGCTTTGCTGATGATATCGTTCTTATTAAATCAAGTATTAAACAAGCCTAACGGATACTTATCGACTTTCACAAAACCAGTGGAAAGGTTGGTCTTCGACTAAACCTCACAGAAACGATGTTCATGGGGAATGGGTTGGTTACGAATGCTCCGTTCACGCCCAACGGAATTGATATCTCCGAAAGTCCAGTTAGATCTATCTAATTCTTTAAATAAGCTTGATGAACGACTTAACTCCTGAATTGAGCAGAAAGAAACAGACGGCTTGGGGAGCATTCAGTAACATCCAGAATTTAGTGAAGAAAACAAAGAACACCGACTCCGTGCCCACCCTTTCGACTCCACGATACTTCCTGCCATAATGTATGCGTCAAAAACCTGTCGTAAGGAGAGTGAAAGATCACTCAGAGTTATTAAACTCACAGTCGAAAGGACGACGCTAGGAGTATCCCGTCTCACACCAGTAAGTGAAGGGATCCGAAGCTGCGATCTGCGTCAACGATCAGAAATCAAAGATGCCGTTCCGCACCCCAAATTGTCGAAAATAAGAGAGATCGGGTACTGAAGATGGAATGCCTATGAACGATAACTAATGGACAAGAGCCTTTAGTGGCTGGATTCCTCGGAAGGTCAAACATCTATCGACCCGATGGTCAGAGTTCTTCACGAAGAGCCTAGAAGAAAGATATGATGCCCGACGAGTCTCTAGAGCTAGCAGAACCCACTGGGCTACTCTAACACGCGACAGGGAAAAATGGAAGATTTGCTGGCGCCTGCTCGAGTCACTCGACGATCAACGGGACTACAATTGATACAGGTGATCTACTATATGTTATTATGGTCCATAATACAACATATTACGGTGGCATTTGAAAGTGTTTTAGAAATTACTTACCTGGATGTTTGGACGACTCGTCCAGAGGGTTGTGCAGGCTCCAGCATATTCTCCATTTTTAGGAATTTGCTAACTCGCCATTGACCCGAGTCCTTGGAGTCCTGATGTCGGCCTGGCTACAATGTGCCTGGGTGGCCACCACCACGTGCAGTCACCCCTCTTGTGGATAAGAGAGGGATTTGCCACCATGCGACTAGTTTGTTGCTAGCACAGTGGTGGATCCTGGCATTAGTTTACTCACCACTGGACTTCTCGGCGGGACCGCCGGACTCTTCGGCAAGGGAGACTCTGCCGCGGGGATGAATCACCTCTGTGTACGTCGCAACCAGACACCCAGGAACACCTCCCACTCACGATGAGACGGTAAACAATTGCGAAATTTTGGAAATTATCGGTCTCTATATCTTTTTTAGAAACCGCACACTCTGTGGATAACTACTGTTTACTACAAAAACAGAATCGAAATACTAGTGGCCAGCACCTATGTTTCTGGTTAGTGAGCACGTTCGCCCGACGGTTTTAGAGCTCTTTCCAACCAAAGCTCTACACAGCATCTGTGTATCACAAGGCATTATTTGATAACAAAAGTTTGGGATAGTAGTTTTATTTATTGAAATAAACTATCGTGAAGGAACATGAGGATGTCACACCGACCATTTCCGCAAAACCATCATGACGCCTGTAAGTGTCATTCGTCGCAAGAGTGTTAAAGTGCTTGGCATTTTGAGCTTGTCGTCAAGAATAAACCACGAATCGATGATTTAACAATTAACCAAACATCGCACAACTCACTGTGTTAGAAGTTCTTCATCTGGTTTGTATTATCCAAAAGATTTCAGATATTAAGGCATGAAGCTCGAGTACTAGAAGGGTTGAGAAAAGTACAATCAGTTCATTTTATTAGTTACGAAGATCGTGGAAAGGTCACTGGACGGTTTATGTTCGTTATACTTAGATTGGTAAGTGAATCTGTTTTTTTCTTTTTTACATGATGTACAGTTCATCTACTCATTCACACCATAATTCCTTAAAAATTCCTAAAAAGTCAACGAAACCAACATCGTCAACGAAAAAAACATCGCCAGCAAGATGTCAACAATAACGACATTGTTGTCAACAACAACAAAATGCTGTGTAAATCAAAAATAGTCAACATCTCGACAACGGGACACCGATCCCAGGTAGTGGTGAGCATTGAGAGCTGACGGCCATCATGGATAGGAGACAGTCTCGCTGTTAGTTCCTTCTACACCCGGCACTAGCTTAATTCCAGCTCGATTTCTAAGTGGAAATATTGACCTTCTTCTCAGGCTCGGTGATCCTGCTAGAGCATGAAATCCTTACTGAACATGGCACGTCGACTTCCACGAACGCGTCTTAGAACAATTTGTAAATAATGTAATAATGTAAAGTGCAACAACAAGGATGCTACTTTAAGAGTGAAACTTGGAACATTAGTAAGGCTTCTAACCCGCGAACAGTTTTCACAAACCATGGCCCATACCTTCATCCCGGCCATGCTCTTAGTCTATCTGTGCGATCAGAAAACGCTCGTCAACAAGAATGACTAGTTTAAATTCGAGCTTGGTTCAATGCTGATTTGTGCTCCTCAGACCATTCCCATAATCGGTAAGGGGAATGGAAGTCTTGAAGCCCAACTAAGGCTCCCTATTTTGTCGACATTTTAGTATTTTTGGAATTGTACTTCACATCATACCCTGCCACAAAAAAGAATGGACAGCAAGCAAAAAGATAGCGCTGGAATGTAAAAATATTTGAATAGGCCAATTATGACATTTATATTCAACCAGGTGGGAAGGAATTTATGGGATTTACGCATGGAAAATCCTGATCGGAGATTTTCAATGGCCACTGGAATCCGAGCCGCGGAACAAACGCTATCTGGTATAAGGGACTTACATATAGTAGGTTACTTGAAAATAAGACAAGCAAAGAAGAACTTAAAATGCCAAAATTTCAACACTTCAGTAATCATCTCAATCACCTGCAGTTATGTTAATCACCAATAATGTCAAACTGGCAGCAATAAAATCTTCACGGGTTCCTTCTGTGTTCCAAGGCAACTCAGTAGACCTAGCAAATCCGAGACGCTAAATGCATCACACTTATGGCATGAAACTTTTCTAACTGTAACTGGACAAAGGTCTAGGCATAGACGACAAGTTTCAGAAGTTTACCTTGGGATGTGCTGAAGTTCCATATGGAAATCTCGAACTGCTCAGTCTGAGATATGTTGCTGAGAGGATGAACCCCTCCTCACATTGCAGCTTAACGTTGAGCAAAACCATCTAACTACGATGAGGTAGAAAACTTTCGGAATAGGAGCTTTATAATGACAATAATAGTGGGAGGATTAATATAATTAGTAATTTAATCACATTTTCACTTTGCTATGAATCTCCCTCATGTGATAAATCTTGAACTGGTTGAGCGAATAGCGAGCTAAATTCACCTCTAACATCTGTATTACCTGTAGTCCTGTTGATCGTCGAGTGACTCGAGCAGGCGCCAGTAAATCTTCCATTTTTCCCTGTCGCGTGCTAGAGTAGCCCAGTGGGTTCTGCTAGCTCTAGAGACTCGTCGAGCATCATATCTTTCTTCTAGGCTCTTTGTGAAGAACTCTAACCATCGAGTCGGTGGTCTTCCTGCAGTACGTTTGACATCCCGAAGAATCCAGTCACTAACGGCTCTTATCTATCGGTTGCCATTCATACGCATTACGTGTCCGGCCCACCTTATCTTCGACTGTTTCGCGTACAGAACGGCATCTTTGATTTTTGATCGTTGACGCAGATCGGTGCTTCGGATCCCATCCCTTACTTGTGTGAAACGAGGTACTCCTAGCATCGTCCTTTCGACTGAGCGTTCGAAAACGCTGAGTGATCTTTCATCCTGCTTACGTAGCGACCAGGTTTCTGACGTATACGTTAGGGCAGGAAGTACCGTTGAGTCGAAAAGGTGAGCATGGAGTCGGGTATTCTTTGTTATGTTCACTGCATCCTTGATGCTCTTGAAAGCTCCCCAAGCCGCTCGTTTCCTTCTGCTCAGCTCTGGAGCTAGGTCGTTCATCATATTAATTTCCCGACCTAGATAGACATAACAGGAGTATTCTCAGATATTTGTTTCGTTGAGCGTGAATGGGGTGTGCGAAACGAATCCGTTCTTCATGAACATCGCTTTTGTGAGGTTTAGTCGAAGACCAATCCCTCTACAGGCTTTATCAAAGTCGTCAAGCATACGTTCCGCTTGGCTAATGTTTGGTGCTATAAGGGCGATGTCATCAGCAAAGCGAAGATAGTGTAACTGCCGACCGTCGATTTTCACTCCCATATTATCCTATTCCAATGTTCGCATGACGTTCTGGAGAGTGGCGGTAAATAATTTTGGCGTGATGGTATCGCCTTGCCTAACTCCTCTTTTGACGCCAATGTTAATGTCGTTGTAGAATGGTGATATCCTGGTTGTGAAATTTTTGTACAGCTCACAAAGAATCGAGCTAACTTATGAATAAAAAATATCAGGTACTTTCCATGAGAAGAAGATGAATTAATCGTGATGGAATTCTCGTCTCTAATATTCCGGGTTGACCAACACCTTCCGTGTATGCCTAGAAATATCTCCGTATGTGAGCACATTAGAAGATGAGCTCAGACGTGGAATGGTTGCATCCTTCTAGTTCTAATGATCAGATTGAAGACTGCAAACAAGTGAACATGAGGTTCATGGAAATTCACGTTAACAATCAGTAAATGAGTGCATCATATCAATACCTACTTTTAAATAGTAAAGCAAAATACTCATTAATGCACCCACCCTTCTGCAACACTTCCAGGAGAAGACCCACTTATGGTTGTTTTCGCTAACAGGAATAAATGTAGTAAACATTTGTTTGTTTAACTGTCTATTTATTAGTTTGCTTATTTTTTCATTTCTTTTAGTCGATTTCACATATTGTGCGGATCCCAGCACATTTGGTTTGTTGTCTGGCATCTGTCACCTACGAAGCTTTTCCAATTTGCTTGTGGTTCGGCTGTAACTTGGGACTGCCTTCTTCATGAATGTTATTCAATTCTGATCGAGTTTATTCCCTCTGAAATCTTTGTATAGCGCTACTAGAGCACTTCCAAGTCTTCACCACAGATCAAATCATCTGCCTTTATGGGTCTGTGGGGAACTTTCCCAATTGTGTCCGATACTAATTAAGCAATTTGGAAGAATAAGATCCTAGATAACGCAGAGTGGTGTCAAGGTAACGACAATGACTCGTTTATTGTTGTATGACATCTCCAACCAACGCGCTTTCTGCTTCTCATAACAGGTGATACGGATGATAAATTTATCATAGACTGCAAGAAATCTTACTTGATATGCTATCTAGATGATTGATTTATGAGTTGCAGTGCGGGTTTTTGCATCGAGATATTAAACCACCAAATTTTGCAATAGGACGAGAAGAAGACGGCAGTGGTCATACCATTTACATCCTCGATTTCGGACTTTGTAGAAGATATCGGTACGATTTTGACAACGGCAATCATCAAACAGCTTTCTATTAATCGAACTAAGGAATCGCTTGAGTTCTTTTCTTCTAGACTCAATATCACAAACGAATTAATGTTAATGGGCTTTCAGAACAGAAGATAAAGATTTACGGTACATGAGAGAGAAAGCAGCATTTCGCGGTACGACAAGATATGCCAGCATCGGAGCTCTCGATATGGTCTCGTTTCGACAGACTTTTCTGGTTTATTTTGGAATCACACCACTTGGAAACTTCAATAAATGCAGTTCATTTATCTACTTTATCTCTTTAGATCTTTCACTTATGAAGAATTGGGCTAAATAATCGTTTTAAGTCCAATTGGACCCCAGGAGTGTAATATCAAATCGACCAGGCTCCATCGCTGCTTAGATATAGACCCAAGGCAGTAATGAGGATTTCGGAACTGTCATGTTCTCTTGTAGGAGTAATTAGATAAAATAACACTTGTACTTTTGGACAAAACAGATTTATATTTGCTTAAGAAAGACCAATGCCGAAAAGATGACGTAGAGGCATGGTGGTACATGGTGTTGGAATGGATGATTGGACAACTTCCATGGAAACATTGCCGAGTAAGTTGCTTTAGATTCCGACGAACTTCCATTAAAAATCTAATTTGCTACCGTTGGCTATTCCTTCTAGATTTCCAAGAGACTTGAGACGACCACAACGTTGCTGAGATATTTGCAAAACTCTGGATCGCAGGTGTCTATGGTGCGGAATAGCAAGTGATCGATAGAACCAGCTGAGAGACAGGCGAAACGAAGGACCCGCATAGTGTGGTGGTGAACGTGTTACTCCCCAGGGAGGACAACAGCGCTTTTGTCCCCCACACCTGCGGTCCAGAGTTTTGCAAATATCTCAGCAACGTTGTGGTTGTATTTCGCTTAGACCCTGCCGTGAAAATTGCAGTAGGCAGAAAATAAAACGTAAAATATTGTGAGACTTGAGACAAGCAGAGAACGGCGATAGTTATATAGTGATTCGGGAAGAGGTGACCGACTTCGTAGATGCTCACATAAGTGAGCTCGTAAGCGATAAATTAAGCGTTCAACACTGATCAATTTCTAGAGGATGCGTCAGACATTCTACTCCATGGAGTGCTTGGCTTACTGAGGTTGCGGATTCCTGCTAACGAACATGTGAGCATTGCAGCGAACCGCCCACCATTATTCTCCTCGAACCAAAGAATTCGTGCTGTATACTAATGGCGGTCTTTCCGATTTTTCGCAAAAATTTCAACTGTCCACATTCTAAATATCCATTCATATCAGTTCTAATATCCATTTCGGGAGCGATTTCACTGTGTGTCCGCTAGCGTCAGGCTTCGATGACTAGGTTATTTCCTTCCGAATAAGGCATCTCAAAGCATTAGCTTTACTCAGGATCCTTTCCACTGTGGATAGCTGAATTGCAAGTGTTCAGGGTGCTGATCGCGCAGAAGTGAAAATGTACAAACAACAACTTCGTATCGAATCCAATTTAAGAAGGGTTAGTGCATATTTGGTAATAAATGCGAAAATTCTACAATGCCCGAGGAATGAACAGTGACTGTCAAATATTGTAAGACGTCCACAAGCCATCGTCCCATAGTGGCTGATGGGTGTACACCCAGCCAGAAGTAAACCATTAAGACAGAAAAACAGCGTGTTCCTAATTGCCAGATCTCCACCAAAAACAATAAAAAAGGCATCGCACCCAAAATGCGATGTTCTCCGTGTTCATCAACGGAGTGTCACTCATTCAGCAGTTATAGCACGACTATCGGTGCCAAGTAGAGTTACTCAAAGAGCTCATTCGGGGTGCGTTTGAATCAATGCGTGCAATCCACCCTTTCTCTTCCAACGTGCATTTACACTGATGTCATTGCATATGGTATCATATGTGCTGAAATAAAACAATGCCGAATTATTGACACGACATGGCGTAAGCACCTGAGTGAAGTTATCGGCAATTGTCGACCTCTTAAAGTCAAAATATGGATTAAAGTTCACTGTGATGGTTGACCTCATGAGCGTAGCAAAGTGATTAGAGAGACTCTGTGATAAACATAAACATGACTGATTCGATCTCGCGCTACCCAGCCAACAAAAGCGTTGTTCCTACAGAAAGAACAAATTGGTAAGAATCTTTTCTGGTAGGATAAAAACACCCACTTGATACAACTGTAGCTCATCAGAAGCCATTCTAGAGGCCATATATTCACCCATTTACCTCTATTATGCTAGGAAAGGAGTCGAATACATGACTCACCCTGAGGAACTGATCAGTGTTGAACGCTTTGTCCTTTACGATTTATCTGCGTGGCCTTCCATTAGAACCAAAACGAGGTGGCTTAAAAATCCTGTTAATGTTGGTCGAAGACCTTAAATGTACTGCTTCAGGTGTTGCGGCACACTCCACAAGATTACATGGCAGCCATCATATTGTATATCGACACGCTCGAGTACAATTCAATACCAGATTATGATTATATAGCAGCGAATCTTGAAGCTGCAATGCAAGTTCGTATTCATCCGAAATTGCTGAGGAAGAAGCGGAAGCACATGAGCCAATAGCTCGCTTAAGCCAATAGTTAACAAATCCGAACACTTCCGGTTAGCTTACGTTGAGTTAGTTAATCGATGATGTACGAAGCTTGACGGAACGCTAAGAGTTTGGTATTTAACGTTATGGACCACTGCGATGATCCTATGAGTTGGCAAACGATGTCAACGATATGGTTTGTGTATGTTATTCTCAAGTTCTTAGTTAACCGGCAACACATTGAGTAACCCGTTTTGCTTCACTCTTGAAAGAAGGACAAACTTTAGCACTGGAGAGTAAAAAATTTCGATATTCGTATGAAGGCAGAGAAAATTGTTGCTTTGTTTGCTAAAATATTCCCTACTGGGTTCATCTATTTTCTTCAAAGATGCTATTCACGAGCACTGCACGTTAAAACCCTTTCGTAAATCATACTTTAATTAGGGCATATATTGACTTTTTTTGATCCTAGAGAATGAAGCCCCCAACAGTTTGCCGCCTCATTATGGCAGGGAGGTGATCCTGAGTGACCGACTGCGATGTACAGCGGGGAGCAGCTAAGGGTAAACCAACACCAAGACCCACCACCGTCGTGGTACCCAACTCGTAGCATGGTGGCAAATCTCTTTCTGACCCACAAAGGCGGCGAATGCCTGTTGTGATGATGACCTGGACAAGACTTTGGCTAGGCTGACCTCGGGACTCCAGAAAACGATAATGGCTAAACCAGCAAAACTGCGAAAAATGGAAATTATGTTGAATTCCGCACAATTAACGAGCCATCCAGGTATCCCAGTATCCAGGTAGAGAATAGAGCAGTTCGACGCTAGGATAAAATCAGTAGAAATTACTAAACGGTAAAAGACTGTAGTCAAGTGCTATATGTGTTCAAGACATTGTTTCCTATATTTCTCCGAGAGAAGAACAAGTATCTATGTCAGAAAGTAAGCAGATAGTAACATACCCGTAGTACCATCTTCACAACGAAAGAGATCTTTCCACCGTTTCAATAACAATCTTCAGGCGTACCATCTCAGCTATAGCGAACCGCTTGATTGGGACTTAATGACGGAGTATAAAGGCCCACGTTACATAAAGAATCTCGACTACGAGTACAAGTAGCCTTGGTCGAGTTCTTTTTCGGTGATGTTCTTCATAATTATTTATAGACTGTTCGTGAAGTTCACGAAAAACAACACTGTTTTGCCAGGACACGTTCGGGCAGAAGTTTTGGAGTTAAGAGCTAGAAAACCCTTGACGAATGTGCACGGGTGTGTGCGTGTGTACGTGTGTGTGTGTGTGTTTATGTGTGTGTGTGTGTGTGTGTATGTGTGTGTGTGTGTTTATGTGTGTGTGTTTACGCGTGTGTGTGTGTTTATGTGTGTGTGTTTATGTGTGTGTGTGTGTGTATGTGTTTTTGCGTGTAGCGATGCTTGTGTGCATGTGCCCAAGTATGCGTGTGTGTAGATGAGTGTGTGTACGCACCTCTGTCGGTGTGTCAGTGTGTATAAAACTGTAATTGTATGACTGTGTGTATTTGTGTGACTATATGTCTTGGTGTTGATCATCACTGCTTTACATGTTTCTTTTGGCTGTTGCACGGATGAATGACAATGACGCAGGCGTCAAAGTATAAGTTTTTGTTTAACACAAGCACAAGAGCGTGACACTATGTGGTCTTACACCTCTTCTGTAATCTACAGAGGTTTCTTACCGCATAGTCTATGGTGTATAAAGCAGGACCTCTTTAACGATTTTCTGATGTTCTCAACTCCATTTTTGATGGACCAGGGCGGGTGTGGCGCAGTGGTCGGAGGCACCCTGCAACACACACGTGTAATCGATTTTCGTGCCCATGGCCCACCAAGCCTTCCGTCCCTCCGAAGTCAGCAAATTGGTACCAGACTTGTCTGGGAGCATAGCAACACTGGCTCGATACATCGGTAGGTCACCACGAGTTGTTGTAAAGGCCAGATATGCATTCAATCACCTCCAAACGATACTTAATGAAGTCGAATGCATGAAGTATCCCTCAGGTATTGATCGACGCTGAGAACTTTGTCGTTTTTTTAAATCTCAACTCCATAATTTAACTGTCAAAAGTTTATCGTTTATTGTCGAAAGCGCCAGCTTTGGTGTGTTTGAATCGCCGATGAGTTCATGATTTTTTTGGCCTCACCGAAGCGGTGGTCGCTTGATTGTTAAACGGGAACAAAAAACTTGATGTCTGTGTTTTTTCAGGATCAAACTGGATGCCAACCTTAGCACATATTTAATACAAAGAAATGAATCTTCAGCTCGACTTAATTCTCTCCGAACACTTTGTTTTTGTTTCCTCGAATGTCTATCGGAAACCGCAATAAATGTGATTGGTACTGGAATGTGAGACGGATAGACCTCTGAGAAAGAGGAGTCAGAACTCATAGTCGTCCGTTTTTGTTGAGGATTTGTGATGTGCTGGCCATTTTTTCCTACTTCTTTAATCATTATAAGACAAATGTATCAATTTAATCTTCAGGAAATGTCATTTTTGCTTATTCAGTTGAATGAACAAGCTATCGGGTGGTAGCATTAAGCCTTGTTTTCATTTTAAATGTTGAAATCGAAGCTCCCGTCGCTGTTTTTTTCTAGATATTGTTCTATTTTACATGATCCATCTTGACATCTACTATGTTGGTCCCTTTGCATTCATTTCGTTCCCACATATTCATCGTCCACAAATGTCTTCAAACCCCTACGCGCGGTTTCGCTCCTACTTGACGATTTTTTCCATTTCATGATTGTTGTTGAATGGTGGTCCAGCAGGTTATTCCTGGAATCCCGGTTAACCCGTGCTTGAATGAGCGTTCCCACGCAGATTGGATAGAGTGAACTGGTCACAGTAAGTCTAACACCGATTTCCCGACCGCGGAGGGATGGAGAGCTTGGTGTAGCCAGTGCGGCGTCGAACAATTTGCGTGTCCGTGATTGCCAGTATCACTAGCACTGTGCTACCCCCTAAGCATTGTTTTCGTTTCAAACTTTAAATCGAAGTCGTAACAGCGAGTGTTGAGCAACTACAAGCACTGTCATTCTAGTCATATGAATTCGATATTTTGGACAAGAATGAAATCGATTTTTACAAATCCTTTCTCGGGATGTGGTAAGATTGCAATAGTTGTCTTCTTACAGTGTCATTTGAAGCGTTCATGAATAAACCTTAAGTTGATTCCATTTCAATGGTCTATTTGTATTATGGTGCCGCCTCTTCGTCATTTAAAAAGTTCTGTTACCTTCGAAAGAAGTTAACCAAAAGACTCGCAGCTTTCTATAAAAATGCGCCAACGATTTCTAGCTGTGTTGTGAATGTCTCAAAACTCCTCATCCACATTTCGTTTCTATGTTTATTTCCCATAAACTACAACTCCTCGGTATGGATGAATAAAGTCTCAACACCATTTGTGAAGTACGTCTACAGTTCTGCCACGAAGATGTATAATTAACTGCATGAAGATTCCCCATTAAATATTGAACATTGAATCCTATGGGGGATAAGGTAACAACAAAGAAGTTGTAGCAGTCGATGCCAAACGGCGAAATTACTATTTGATTAGCTGTAACAGTAGATATTTGCTATAAAGGATAAAAGGATAAAGCTCTCAGCGTTGATCAATCCCTGAGGGATGCGCCATGCATTCGACTTCATTAAGCATCGTTTGGAAGTGATTGAATGCATATTTAGCCTTTATAATAGCTCACGGCGGCCTACCGATGTATCATACCAATGACGCTATCCTCTCAGACAAGTGTGGTACCAATTTGCCGATCCCGGAGGGATGGAAAGTTTCGTGGGCCATGGGCGCGGGGATCGATTCCACCTGTGTTGCAGGACGCCTCCGACCACTGCGCCACACGTGCCCCTTTTACTTGCTATAAAAACGCTATTTAGGAGGAACTCCCTAACATCTCATTACATCCCGCATTGTGGTGAAGGTGGTTGTTCACCTATAGTGCAAAATAGGCATCCTTGTTGTATCCCGTTTATGGGTTGGCAGTAGGGAGTTTAGAAACACCATGAATATGTAGACGATTATGCCTTGCATAACGCTGACAGATACGTGCGCAGTTTACAAGTTTCTGCTAAAAACACTATTGGTTGCATTATATCTTCCATTTAAAGTGGATCACTTTAATTCACACTATAATCGATACTTCTTTTCAGATTGTCGTACACAATACCATGATAGTTCTCGTGAAAGACCTACTTCTTTCTCCTTTCTCCCTGATTTAAGCTCGCTTGTACCTAGTGGTCGTTGTTCAACAAGGCCACATTAAATTTATTATCTGGAGAAAAAAGAAGCTGAAATTTGAAGCAAAACCCTCTATCAAGATATTCCGTTTACTTCGTTTGCGTAAATTACCCATGGAAGCATGTTTAGCCGCGGTTTGGTTGTTAAAGGTTTCGATCGGGGCTATATTGCAGATGTTTCAAACTAAATCTATGAGATACATTTTCCATAACGCTCTTCTGCATAACATACGAAGCTGACACTACTTACAATATAAGAGCGATGAAGTGTGGTTCAACGATCTGCAAGATGTCCAAGAATCTGGTTGACTAAGATGACAGGTACGTGGTCGACATCGGCAGCCATCAGATGGCGGTTCAACGACAACGTCACCGTTGCCGTCAATAAGATACAGTTTAAAGGAAAGAAACACTTATTTGAATATTTCGAATACCCTCGAACTCTACAAAGAACAGTTTAAAGGAAAGAAACACTTATTTGAATATTTCGAATACCCTCGAACTCTACAAAGACGACAATATTTGTTTGTTCAACAAGAATATCAAGATCTACAAAGACGTTCTTTATTATGCAGTAGAAGCGTCGCGTTGTAGCAATCGTTTGCATCATACAAACTTTACCGTAGGCGCATTAGGAACGAAGCAATTGATAAGAAGTGCAACCCGATGAATCCTAAAATCAGTCTAAATTTTAATCACTGATATTAACTGATGAGTTTCATAGAAGAAAAAAAACGAACTTATGATCTAGTATGACACCTTATGCCTTTCCCATGCCCTCAGCGACATTCTTCTCATATTTTGGTCCTTTATACTCAGCCATAAGATCCCAGTCCGGAGGTGCAGCAAAGTTCAGGTAATAAGCCTAAATTTAGAGTAAAAATGAATACGGCTGATAGATATTGTTTTCGAGAACTATAATGCGTTTGTAGGTCTCAGGATCGGCACGGAACTGGATAGTGAGTCAAAGACGAAGCAGGAATAACTACATATTTGTGCTTCAATGGCCAATGAGATGCGAGGGCTCGGTAAGCTCATTCAATTGTGTTGTATCTACGTGAATGAATTCATGTTTGTATAACTGGGCTACATGGTAAGAGCGTCACGACCATCTATAGCAGATAAGCGCTATAAGTAGTCCATTGAAGGCCAATAAATCATTATGAGAATACCCAACCTTCCAGATTGTTACAAGCAGGGGATCTAGATGCTCTCTCCACAGTAGAAATAATGGACAACGCAAGGACGAAGCCCTATCGGATGATGTGTACTAATTGTAATTATTACCTTTGCTGCTGTCTCCAGCTGAGTTGCAATGTGGTCATAATCAGGAATTGAGTTGTACTGAAGTGCGTCGATATAGAGGATGATGTTCGCCATGTACTCCTCTGGTGTGTTTTTCAGGAACTGGAAGCAATAGAAGTCTTTTCAAAGAGATGTTCATTATGGAGCGGACTTCTACTTCGTCGATTGGTTTCACATTATATTGTTATCAACCATCCAAAGGTTGAAGTTCTAACGCGCTCGCCTAGCTGACACTATTCCCTTTGAATTGTTCAGTTTATTCAGTTTCTGGCAATGCAAATCGGAGTAAGCATAAGTTCATTTTTTACCGACGTGGTACTTAGTACGAAAGCTTTTAGACGACGGGTTACGTTCGTGTGAACCATATCCTCTTTCGAGCCCTGAGAAAGGTCATACTGTAGAGATATTATGCGGTAGTTCTACTTCAACTATGAAGAAGACTAAGGTGAATACTTCACAAACCGACTTTCCTTTAACCTCTTTATAAGCGATCAATGTACCTTCTTTCATTGATGAGCTGACACGAGGTTGACAAAAGAAACTTTATTCGGCTAAAAAAGGTACACTGATCACTCACACCGAGGCTAAAGGAAAGTCGGTCTATGAAATATTATTACGGTTTTCACTAACTTATAATGAAACTGATTTCTGCAGGATGGATTGCCTTGAAAAAAACAAGTTATTATCACCAGACAATCATATCAACAACAGCCATCCTGTACAAAAGAGTGGGTGGAGATTGCCTCATTCGAGTAAGATCCGACTCGATAAGACGACGAAGACACCACATGAATAGTGTGAAGAACTGTGGATGTCGATTGACGTCATCGGCTCTGACGAAGAAGAAGACGTCGAAATGTTAGCCGAATAAAGTTTATTTTATCAACCTCGTGTTAGCTCATCAATGAAAGAAGGTACTTCGATGAAGGTGAACATCTGAAGCTTCCAAAACAATTCATTGAGCGAGCTGAGCGTGTATACTAGCACTTCTGTCTGTGAACTAGGCAGATATCGACGGTTTCATCCACTAGCATACCTACTCAAGCTGAGGAGATTGACATTAAGACCCACTTGAGTGTAGACTTGCGATAAAGGAAAGCACTGCGAACCGCCCGTGAATATCGTGGCCGCACGAACAGTGAAAATGGGACATCGGTAACGGACAGTGAAACGTTCTACTTTCTTCCATGAGCAAATGAAGTGGCGGATACCGAGGGCCGACTCAGAGAATGCTTGCTGAGTCCGCCAATTCAGTGAATGCAATAGTTAAATCAATACAGAATCCTTGAATTCTTAGTAGTAGCCACGAGACCTCGGCAGTATATCGACTTGGAAATCACTCGATATCGATGGAGCCATATGTCGCTGTAGAAGATGTAACCATCCCTAGACAGCGTTTTTGCAATTGCCCGAGTGTTATCATATAAAAGTATTACAACTACAACTATCTACCTGCGGGGCAATAACATGAGCCAGCTGTGATGACACATTCTACAGATATGACCTAAAGCTTGTTCAATATTGCGCAAATAACATAATAGATGGTTCTCGATATTCTTGTTGAGGAAACACGAAATGATATTTCATTCTTTATTCCGTTAAAGCTGACGTTTTGGTGCGACTCTGATCAGCTGTTCTTCCTTCGTGGAAGGCTCGTAATGAACGGTTCTGAAGAAGGTGATAGTGCCGAAACGTCAGCTTTAACGGAACAAAGAATGAAAAACACCTCGTGTTTGCTCAACAAGAATATCGAGAACTATTTGATCAATGCCGAGGTTAATAGAAAGTTGGTCATGGGCCATAAAATATAATTAAATAGAATTGAGAAATACGGAATATTCTTTAAGAGGTAGGAAATAGTCTCTGTAACCTAATCAAATTACCTGCGATTACAAAAAAACTGTGGATTTCTTTCCTTATGAATTGTTGTCTTAGTAGCTGCAGCAATGTTCCTATTCATTCTACGACTCACACACGATAAGCGTAAAGCTCTCGGCACTGATCCATCCATGAAGGGCGCACCATGCATTCGACTTCATAAAACATCTAGCCTATTCAATGACTTACGATAACGTAGCTATGTGTCAATTCAGTGCTACAATCCTCAGACAAGTCTGGTACGAATCTGTCTACTCCAGAGGAATATAGAAGGCTCAGTAAGCCGGAGCGTGGGATCGAACTAAGAGTCACAGGCACATTGCGAGCCACCCTGCGCGAGACGAGTGCGTAGAGGCTGCTGCAACCTTGGCGCCGCTCTAAGCTGCTTAAACCGCAAAATCCCAAGGTGGCGATCTGTATCTACTAGACACGCATACTTGCACAGAGACAATGCATTGAGACTTGATCACGCAAGCAAGAGGAAGAGGGTACGACGTCATCGCAGTGGCCGAGATGAGACGACGCCTCCCATCGTCGTCTATGACACCCACGAAGAACTGCTCCTCAGAACATGCGACATTAGTTGGCGATGTCGGCGCTCTCTCGAACACCTGTTTGGTTATGAATATCGATTCATTCGGACAAATAGCAGCCCAAATCTGACATTTATGATTGAAGAAATATGTGAATCAATGCCCGCTTTGACAATCCTCGAGGTTTATGAAACGACATCAAGCTATGACAAAGAAGAAGTAAAAGTGTTTTATATGGACTTGGAGAAGTTCTACAGAGAAAAACATACATTCTTCAAGGTCATCACTGGAGATTTTAATACTAAGATTGGGCCAAGAAGAACGTTTGAAGAACGTCACATTGGGACTCACGAGCTAAAATGGAACAAGAGGGTGAGTGGTTGTCCGAGTTTACAACTACGATCAAGACCATTCATGGTAGCTCGCAATTCCATAAGCTCCCTTTTAACGATGAAAGTGGGAGTCTTCCATAGGAGAGTACCATAACGAAATAGACCACATAATAGTAAAATGAGGATTTTTCCTAACCGATGTCGCTGTTGTCCCAAAAATCTACGAGGGACCAGACCATCGAATTCTTTGTGCAAGAATTCATTTCTCGCAGGATAGAGAAAAAGCGGCTAAATTCGAAAAACGAAGTTCCAAAATCACCATAAACTGGAACCCATTCAGCCTATTAGTCGGCTGTTGGGAAGATGCCGTTGTCGACAACATCGACGAGGAATACGATTGGCTCATTCAACATCTTCACGTTAGTGTTATGAAAGCTGAGAGTTCGAGAGCCACCACGAGATGTCTGTCTCCGGAAATACTCGAGTTTATACTCCAGCGCGGAATCGCTCGAGCTGCAAGCAACCGCAAGCTCACGTCGGAACTTGCAAAACATTGCAGACAAGCGGTAAAAGAAGATCTTGAAGAGAGAAGAGCAGCACTTATGGTCAAAGCTACAAAAGCTGGGAAAAACACTCGAGGAGCCCACCGAAGCTGCTCCAATTACAAAACCAAGGTGCCTAAGGACGCCCAGACGGAACAGTTACAGCGTACAGAAAGGCAATGGAGAAATTCATTCACGAATACTACTCAGATCTCTTCAATATCCATGACTTCCTTGCCTCACATGAAATAAAGGAGGATGGATATGTCGTATCGCCGGTTCGCCCTTCCGAAATCCGACATGCCATTTCGTCGGTAAAAAATCGAACAACACCAGGCCTAGACAGGATAAGATCAAAACACTTGAAGAACCATCCACCAGTCCTCGCAAACACATTGGCTCGCCTCTACACACTTTACCTGTCTGAATGCAAGGTCCCTTCCCAGTGGTTGATCAGCAAGGCCGTGCTATGGTCCAAGAAGAGTGATCTCCACGATATCGGCAACTATTGCCCTATCTGCTTTCTCCCTATCGTCTGCAAACTTTTCACCCGAGTCATCCTAAATAGGATTGGCAGAACACTGTACGAAGGACAGTGGTGTGAGCACGCAGGATTTCGAAAAGGATTCAGTACGATGGACCTCGTCCACACAATAACAAGACTCATGGAAAAATCGCGAGAGTACGACGTACCGCTCTCTCTCTTCCATCGAATTAAAGAAAGCTTCTGACTTAGTTGAGATAGAAGCAATCGTGGAAACCCTGGACGGTCAGGGAGTCCTTACTCAGTACACAGAGAATCTTCGTGAGCTTTATAAAAATTTCGCAATCAAGATATCACCATTCTACAGCGATATTAACATCGACGTCAAAAGAGGGGTTAGAGAAGGCGATACTCTCGTAAAAAAATATTTGTAGCCACCCTCGAGAACACCATGCGAACACTGGAATGGGACAACATGGGCGTGAAAATCGATGGTCGGCAGTTACACTATCTTCGCTTTGCTGATGACATCGTTCTTATAACACCAAACATTGGCCGAACAAAACGTATGCTTGCCGACTTTGATAAAGTCTGTAGAAAGATTGGTGTTCGACAAAATCTCACAAAAACTATGTTCATGAAGAACCGATTCGTTTCGCACACCCCATTCACGCCCAACGGAACCAATATCTCCGAATGCTCCAGTTACACTTATGTAGGTCGGAAAATCAACATAATGAACGACTTGGCTCCAAAGCTGAGCACAAGGAAACCAGCGACCTGTGGAGCTTTCAAGAGCATCGAGGATGTAGTGAAGAGAACAGAAAACACCCGACTACGTGTCCACCTTTTCAACATAGCGGTACTTCCTGCTCTAACGTATGCGTCAGAAACCTGATCACTGCGTAAGCAGGATGAAAGGTCACTCAGCGTTATGGAACGCGCAGTCGAAAGGACGATGCTAGGAGTACCTCGTTTCACACAAGTAAGGGATAGGATCCGAAGCACCGATCTGCGTCAACGATCAAAAATCAAAGATGCCGTTCTGTACGCCGAACAGTCGAGGATAAGGTGGACCGTACACATAATGCGTATGAATGGCAACCGATGGACAAGAGCCGTTAGTGGCTGGATTCCTCGGGATGTCAAACGTACTGCAGGAGGACCACCAACCCGATGGTCAGAGTTATTCACAAGGAGGGTAGAAGAAAGATATGATGCTCAACGAGTCCCTATAGCTAGCAGAATCCACTGGGCTACTCTTGCATGCGACGGGGAAAAATGGCAGATTTACTGGCGCCTGCTCGAGTCACTCGGCGATCAGCGGGACTACAGACGATACAAGTGATCCTGAGATATTTGCAAAACGTGTATCCCAGCCCAGACTTAAACCCGAGATTACCTTATCCTGGGGTCCACGTTCTACCTACTGCATCACTGACACCCTTGCTATGACCTTCTATCAGCCAGAAAGGGTGATTGCGGGTTCGAATCTGGCTAGGTTATAGTGAGCCTACTTGGGTAATTTTTATGCTCGTCTTTTCAAAGGATAACGATGATTAGTAATCCGCCAAATTGTTGGCCACTGAACTTCTTCGAAAAAAGGTATTCTGTACAAGCAATGGAGTGCTTACGTTTCACCTGTTCCAAATTTAAACGGCAACTTATCAATTTACCTCTTCTCCGAAATCGCTACAAATTTTCGTGATTCATAAAATTCTAGAATAAAAAGAGAGATTAAGGTAACAAGAAGAAAAATCTTGTCCCAGGAGTAGTGGAGAAGATGACCACATCTCTCAGTTAGCTGTCATTATGAATATACCCTACACGCCACAGAGGAATCATGACACTGACTTTTTTGAGGTTCTGCTTCTGTCGCACCATTTTCTTCATGTGTATCATTTCCTCCAATTGAGATGTCTGAAATAACTACGTATTGCACAAAAGAAACATGTTTTGAATAACTTCGTAACTTTTCTATTTGACAAAAAAGCGTCCTCTTTAAAGTTTTAAGTCAAAGAAGTATTCCGCACGGCAAATCATTTACATTACAACAAACCTTCAAGTTAGACCAAGGAAGGCTTCCAAGCATAAATTCTACAATCATATACCACCAAGATTCCACATCATCTTTGCGGGATTGCTCCTTCTATAATATATAATTTCATGAATAACCATAATAGACTTATAAAAGGATAAAGGACAGAGCTCTCGGCGCTGATCAATCCTTGAGGGATGCGCCATGTATTCAACTTCATTAAGCATCATTGGAGGTGATGGAATGCATATCTGGCCTTCACAATGACTCGCGGTGGCCCACTAATGTATCGATCCAGTGCTGCTATCCTCCTAGACAAGTCTGTTACCAATTTTCCAACCCGGATGGATGGAGGGCGTAGTGGCGCTGGAAGGCAGGGATCGATCCAATGTCCACTGCAAGGCTCCTCCGACCACGACGCCACACGCATCCTTAGAAAAAAACACGCATCTTTGGCAAAAAACACTTATAGATCGTTTAATGTAGAATATTTACGTATTGAAACATAAAACGTGTTTAGAAGAGTACTTTACACGGAGTCACTGGTTCGATCTCTAGTCTTAGTTGACAAATTGGTATCTGACTTGTCATTCAAGTCATTCAAGTTAGACCTCTTCAAGTTATGGTATAGCCCAAATATGCATCTAATCACCTCTTGGATCCCACGAATGGACTCGAATGCGTGCTGATTCCGCAAGGGATTGGTCAACGCTAAAAGCTTTACCCTGTGTTGCTTACATTTGTACCATCAGTTATTAACTCGAGCACGTAACAATGGAGACTTCTATTCCATTAGAAATGTGCTAAAGCTATGATGCTCACTTTCTATAGAGAACATTCTTCACGAATATTGGAATGTTCTCTATGTAAATCAATTATAACCTTTCCAAACATTTCAAATGCTTCTCCCATGACCTTTTCTCCATTACGATCTGATAACCCTTCTAAACATTTCAAATGCTTCTCTCATGACCTTTTCTCTATGACGATCTGATAGCCGTATGTCTAACATTTCGCTGGCGCCTATCTCGTAAAATATCTGCACTTACGGTCCTAGGCTTTGAATATCGCCCTATCAGATCGCAAGGCTTGTGAAATGTTTCCAGCACCCGTCTTTTTGCCTACTGTAGCCCAACTCCGCCTACTGTAATCTGACTCCGCCCAGCGCAAAGGTATGTAAACGGCTCCACGGTTAGCTAGCTCATGTCACAGCAATGCTGTCCAAGTCACCGCATTCGTGCGTCACATCCATCTCATGTAGTAAAAGTGTTATGCCAATCTCTTCACTCATAAGCAGCCTGAACACCAGTGATCAGGCTGCGCCTACTCATAACCAGGATCATTGTTACTTTAATTGTAGAGTTGTATTGTTATGATTGTTGTATAATTATGATAAACGGTTTAATTACCCAAGTTTGAGGTTTCCGGCATTGTGACTACTACTTACAAAAAGTCCCGCGTGGCATACACAAAGGCGAGCAGCAAATTCCGACCGAATCATCTTAACTACTTGGTATTCCTATATAATCTAGCCGTCCCACCATACTTTCATCACTTATGGAAGCCACGAAGAGCATCATAGGCTAGCATGATGCGATTTCTTACGTTTTTGGCGAATAGGCAACTATGGATGGCTCATCAGAAGGAGTACTCTAGGAGCCGGATGCATTCAGTGGTTCTCCTGAAGGAGGTGTTTGGCATCCAACAGCTTTATCATATGGTGCTGCGGAACAACGCCAACGGGTCACGTGCAACAAGCGATGCATAAATTAGGATCCACGCTACACTGAGCAGCACTATAACGTTCAACGGGGACAGTTCAGGTGTTCAACATCTTGCATGCCTTTGCTTCTTGTTAAAAGCTGTCGTATTACAAAACAATCATTTACCATGCTCAGCGCAGCGATGCTGGCATATCGTGGTACACCACGGAATGGGGCCTGTTGACGTTGTAATCGCAAATCCTTGCCTTCTGCCCTAAAAGAAATATTAGGATGAGACTACTGCAGGGAACAATTTATCATTTTATGCAGGTAGTACTTGGTACTAGAGCTCGTTTGTTCTCGCAAAGCGGTTATTTCCTAGATTCAGTCAAAATGTCCCAGTACGAGACCAGGAGTAAGAATTCGTCTAACTACGATTACATTGCTGACGGTTTAAATTACATGAATTCTGAGACAGAAAATTATTTAAAAAGTAATAATTTTATTAGGTTATTACTAATTTCCATTATTCCCATCTATGTTGGAGTGGTCTGCTCAGTGAATATTCATTCGATCCCAGCACATAGCTCTCGTTTAACTGGGATACCACTGATTTAAGAATTGTTTCCTAATTGAAGTCCCGATAGAAATGTGATGTTCGGCTTCTACGTCATCTTTGAGCCGTCGGTAATTTTTTCATTCCTCCTTTCATTCTTAAAATCTGCTTTAATATCGTGTCCGAATCAACTAGTATGGTCACCGAACGGAAGAATCGCTGCCGAAAAGATACCTTATTCAAGCCCACATTGTCGTAAAGGTATGAAAACTCCTTGCAAAGCTAATGCAGGACTTCAGAGAGAACAAACTGTCCTGCAACCTACCAACCAGCTTCAACATGCACATTGGGTTGTCCCACCAATGACGTCAGGCGGTGAGAGACCGGTGAGAGGAGACAAAATCTTGGGTTACGTAGGACGACACTACAACCGCATCTGAAGAACACACTAGAAAGCATAAAAAAAGGTGCACCTTCACGACTCGATAGTATCGCCACCGACTTTACTAGAGATGGATGCAACCAAAACCAATCAGGTGGACTCGCAGCTGCCTGTGTTCTACGGACCATAATATGAGACCCGGTACCACGTTCGAATGAAACCACCAACATGGACGACTTATGCGAGGCAAAGAAGCGAATGGAAAATGTTCTTGGATCCACACAACTCGTTAGGACGGGTCGTCCAAGTAACCATGTATCTAAGTAATAGAGAACCGTACTAAAGGACCTTTATAGTTTTCCTTTACAATCATGCTATGATTACGGAAGGATATAATGCAAGAGAATGCTGACAGAATTATGAGGATATTGTAGCCTTTGCGTCTTATAAGCCACCGCATTGGAAAGTCAGCCCTCTTATAGGTGGCCTGACAAGAACAGTGGCCTGCTCAGTGGGCAACCAATCAATACTGAAAGTAGGGCTTTACCAGCATGACTACAACAAGTTGAAAAAGCAGTACATTTATAATTGATGCCATCTCAGCGGTATCATCTATTTGAAACGTCGATTTGCTTTACAACAAACGATTTCTACTTAAAAAAGCACCACTTCGTCATTCACATCCCGTTGCGCCATTGACACAGAGGAAGGATAGCACAGCGGCAGTGATGTCCGCCATCGCGAGCATGGTGTTAGATCGATTCTGCTACGAAGCAAGCAAGCACCTCATCCCTCCGGGGTCGCGAAATTGGTACCGGACTTGTCTCACATTCTGAAATCCAATTGGGAACGCTCCAGCCCAGCTATCGTAGGACTCCAGGGAGAATTGCTCGATCAGCATTCGACGATATTCAAGACGAAATGAAAATCCTCAAGCAGCAACCGAGTCCACACGTAAAGTTAGGAGATTTTCTTGGACAAGGGATGTGAGGAAACGAATCCAATGTGGAAAGTGCTGGGATCCGCGCAGTAGACATGAGGACTTGGCACTTGACACTTGAGTGGCCTGTCCTCGCTGATTGTGTGGGCCCAGCATAATCTCCATTTTTCGGAGATTTGCTGGCTTAGCTACCGTGTTTGCCTGGAATCCCGAGGTCAGCCTGGCCAAAGTCTGTCCCAAGTCTTCACCACCACAGGCAGTCGAAACCCTTGTGGATTCGAGGGAGATTTGCCACCATGCGTCTTTGATACCAGAACGATGGTGGATTCTGGTACTGGTTCACTCTTAGCTAGGCTTCCTGATGGAAACGCCGGACTCCTCAGCTTGGGAGACTCTGCTAGGGGATGAATTCCCTGCTGTACATCGCAGTCCGACGCCCAGCAACATCTTCCAACCACTGTGAGGCAGTAAACCGTTGCGAGACTCATTCCTGAACATGTACTAAAATTGGAACAATACAGAGACAGGAAGACTGGTCATACAAAAATAAAAAAAAATAGGAAAAACACCATTGATAATTGCGAAGTCTCATACATGAACTTCCGTGCAAATTTGAAATCGAGGATGAAGACAGTGTGTAAATTTCCATCTTCTTCTCTTCCTATTGCGAAATTGTCAGGTTTTATATCACGATGTATATAACCGCACTAAAAAGGTTGCATTTTCCCATGCAGTCATAAAAAAGTTTATTGTGTTATGTACAGAAAACACTTCACTAGAAAGGGAAACTACGTCCAGGTGCTAAGATATAGGATAAAGGATAAAGGATAAAGCTCTCGACGTTAATCAAACCCTGAGGGATATGCCATGCATTCGACTTCATTCAGCACCGTTTGGCGGTGATTGGATGCAAATCTGGCCTTTACAATGACTCGCGGTGGCCTAACGATGTATCGAGCCAGTGCTGCTATCCTCGCAGACAAGTCTGGTACCAATTTACCGACCCCTGAGGGATGGAAGGGTTAGTGGGCCAGGGGCGCGGGGGTCGATTCGTGTGTGTTGAAGGGCGCCTACGACCTAGCCATACGCGCCCATAGGTGCTGAGATACTTGAAAAAATGACTGGTGATCGCTGCTGGTAGTGTTAGACAGAAAATTAGCCGAGAAGAAAGCGAAGTGAAGGACCTTCATGGTGTGGCGGTGAACACGTCAGCATCTGGAAAGGGTAATAACGGGTTCGATCTCCACCGTAGACACCGGTCCGGAGTTTTGAAAATGTCTCAGCATCACTGCGATTGCATCTCACATAATACCTTGCTGTGAAAAATTGTGGTATAGAGTAAATAAAAAGATTTAATACTATGTTCAGGAATCTTTAAGTCTACCAGGTCCCAAAAATCTCACATTGTGAAGATCGCGAATAGCGGCTAGTGTTTGTTCGCCGACACGTAAAGCTGTCACCATAGAGAATTTTTTGTCTGGGCAATCCGCGAGGACATCGATCAAGTTTTTCCCAACCTATAAAAAAACTATTTTACATAAAATTGATCGCACAAAAAAGTTGAATCCACCACTGTACCCCACCATCGCTTTTTCTACTATCAGGACTTGAAGTTAGTATTCAAGGGAACCTTGACTACTTGTTTGGAAACCATTACCATTAAAGTTCAGTTGCAATTAGCAGATTAGAGGAAATTCAAGAAGGGGGGCAGACCGAGACGCAGTTGTTGACCAGTGTTAGAAGCTAGAACTACTGTTATTGTAGTTGAGTGTTATAATAGTCCTATTTTTGCAGTACTTGGCAGTTGATTGAACCATCTTCATATGGAATCTTATTGGTGCCTCCACGTTTCCCAACTAACAGTCCGGAAAGAGACCTAGCCATTGGGCAGTTAACCCTCAGTCTCACTCTGCTTGAGCTAGCGACGGCTCGTCGACAGGACTTAACTTCGATGATGCATTCATATTACGACCACCATTCATATTATGGATGAAAGTTTTAGGTCCTATTCCAAAATTTCTGACTTTTTTCTACAACATAAAAGACTTTGCACAGTATTCTTCTTTGTATTGTACTAACCAATTTAACCACAATAAAAATAAAACGGTCTTCAACTAATCCACGATCTTCGTATGTAAGAAAATGAGGTGAGATAACCGACTTCAGTGATTCGTACACTCTTGCCTGATGTCTTAGGGACTGAAACGAAGGCGATGAGAGGAATCGAATTCTTATTAACTCGAGCAAGAGAATAACCTTTAACTTTCGTCATACCGGTGATTTCGATTTCCATGATTCACATTTCATCGCGAATTCTTTCTTGTCGTTCAGACGAATCACATGAAACACGGTGCTGGTCGCACTTTTTGAAAGCCTATCGCGAATCTGAAAGCAAAAAAACATTAGTGGTGGTTTAATGACAACGTTGACAGAGATCCATTTCGTCAATGACAATGCTACAACACACTTTATTACCAGTGGTGCTGATTCATTTCATGATTGACAACCTTTCGATCACTGAGTGAAGTCCTTCCATTCCTGGTAACCTGACCATTTTAACACATCCGCGCCAACAAGGCTATGTACTGAATTCATTTAACACAGTCCGACATGGTCACCAAAACATTAAGGATCATCATAATTAGTAGTGGTCTTCTGCGCTACTCTAGCTTCACAATAAGCAACGAATTGTTGAGGAGCTGGTGTATTTGTATTTGTTGCAGTAGAGACGCCTTAGCATTTTCTCATCGATAACGATGTGTGCGAAACCTCGTCGATTCAAAAGACAAAAAATCGCTGCTGTACTTTCACTAACGAACAAATTCATACAGTGATGTTTTTCTAAATTTCGATGCACACAGAATAGCTCCCCTCGGTTGACAACTGCTACAGCATCTATCGTAAGGAGCTTTTAAGGTGCGTCATGCAACTGACTTCATTAAGCATCGTTTGGAGGTAATTGAACGCATATCTGGCCAATTTCGAGCCAGTGGTGCTATCCACGCAGACAAATTTGGTCCCAATTTGCCGATCCCGGAGGGATCGAGGACTGGGTAGGCTATGGGCGCGGGGATTGATTCCAATTCCATGTCCGTATTCCAGGGCACATCCGACCACTGCGCCACACGCGCCCTCTTAAAGAAGTTATCGACGAATTTTACCATGTTTAGAGTTAGAGTGTGTGAAGGTCATGCTAACCTGCAGCCGATCTGACCGATTAGTGAAATTCATCGTTACCATGGTAAGACGCCTGTACAAGAACCCTAGTATTCAACACGGATGAAATGAATAGGTGCCTGTCATTTGTGAAGGTTGATCACTTGTCCAACAATCCCGAGAACAACACATAATATACTGTATGTATTTTATGTAGTCATTTAGAACACGTTAGAATTCGTGAAGAAACTACTGCTACCGTATAGGCTAGCGGTCAACAATGACATTTAGCGAAACACCATGTTCACGGACTGCCCTCCGCTACTCGCTCGGTTGGAGTTTGTTCATTATCGTGGTCTTCATAACACAAACATTGTGAAGTGGTCACCCGTAAAAGTAGTTCGAAAACCACACGCCACTCGTGATTCCTTTTGCTCTTCCAGGATTCTACTTTCTGCATAGTCTTCAAGTGGTCGGCCTACTGATCACGAGGAACACTACCGTCCAGTAGTACCCGTCGTGGTGGAAGAGTGGGAGTCGCAAAGCATCAAACCATAGGAAGTCGCAGCATATCAGCACAGATATACCTCCGTAATTCCTCAGACTGTAACCGAATCCGACACCTTTCGTGGATAACGGTTACAAGATAAAGAGGCGAATGAAAGAAGTGACTGGACCCCACTATATACGGTTCACCTTATGCCCATCATTGTTTCCTAGAGCAAGGAGTCAGCCAGGTTGTATTGAATAAGTTTTGCTGGTAAAAACGTCATTTTTGCTCATCGAGAAAACTGTACTATCGATCAATGCCGAGGTCTAAAGAAAGTCGTTCCCGGGATTTGTTTCTCGTCTCTACTTCAATTCTATTATTGAAGTGTAGTGATTTCCAAACAGAAATCTGACAACGACCAGTGTTTTTCTTTACTCAGTTATCCTCATGACTTACCTCATACACGGCCTTTTTGGTCTTAATCACATCTTCCTTCTCCTTGGGCAGATATTCTCCCGACTCTTTTTCGCACATGATTTGCTACCGTTGCTCCTGCCGTCTTTGTTGTACCTTGACGGAAAATGAAGCTCACTCTGTGGAAGTCTTTTTTATCAAGTTGTTTCTATTGAAGGATAACTAAAAGACTCATGATATTTAAGTGAATCGGAAAGTGATTGTGGTCGAACCGTAGAAGATAATTGGTCGATATGGTATCATGAAGGTAGTCTAATATTAGGTTGATTCAAATGCAAGTGCAGCAACGGAGAGTCTGTTTTAAATCATTATAACTGGACATTATACTCTCAGGACATGTGTCGCGCAGTGGATAGACGTGCCTTTCAATGTACACGCTGTCACCGGTTCGATACTACGCCCGACCTAACAAAGGCTCTCATCTCTTTGACATCTTTGGAAAATTGGTAACGGACTTCTCTACGAGGGTAGAGCACTGACGTAATGCATCGATAATCTTTCGCAAGTCATTGCATAGGCCAAATCTGCGTCAAATCGCCTCTAAGGCGTCATGACTCTGTGACTCATCCCTAAGTGATTAATTAATTAAGAAAGTTCTGACTGGTTCATAGCTCTGCTTAAGCGATATTTTATCAGTCAAAGTAAGAATCGCTAGAAATTCTACCCACTTTCTAACAATATACAAGTCTATTTATCTCGGCCACGGGTCCCCTCATATGAGGGGTCTCGAGCCGGTTTGTCGCGAGGCTACGTGGCGCGTCCCCAGGTGGCGGATAGGGAGTTGATCGCGGACCAAAAGCGACCTTTGCTTCCCTGAGACGCAGGTGGATCCAGGGGATGGACTTCCTGTTTCTGCTGCGCTGCCAGCTAGTTCGTAACCGCCTATATGACCGTCTATGTGCAACTCAAAATTGCATAATTTGCCCCAGTGGTAGAGACGGTGATTGCATGAGCTCGGGTATAGTTTATCTGATCTCCTGTAAGACGTGCGGTGACGAATACATTGGCGAAACGGGCAGACCCCTCTGTGTCCGCATAAAAAAACACCTAGCCGGCAAACATAGACCAAATACTCCGCTATGCACGCATAGGACCCAGAGACATAACGGGGAGGACTTTGATGTGTCACGATCCTTGCACGCGATTCAAGAACACAGGCGCGAAAAACTCTCGAGGCACTCTGGATTAAATCCAGAAATCCGAAAATGAACCGCAGGGAAGAATGCCTCATTATCACGCGTGATGTAGGGCAGTATATAAGACTGCTATTCTGATGAGTGGGGCACATTATACTTCCATGTGGTTTCTGTGCGGTTGGTTTCTACGTGACATACTTAGTGGAGACCTCATAGAAAGCGGTGAGTGTGCAAAGCTGTGTTCAATGTGATTGAAATCTTGGTTTAGAGTTTCTTTGTTTGGTTATGGAGGCGTCTGGCCAAGTAGATTGCTGTCAACTTGACCTTTCCAGGCTCTGAGGAAGGCGAAATCCGCCGAAACGTCAGCTCATTCGTGAATAAAGAATAATAACACCTCGCGTTTGCTCAACAAAAATACGAAGAATTACATACTTTCTGTATTTGCGAGGCGTATTCATGCATGTGTGTGTGGTTGCGTTCTTACTCACGCGGATTGTATTCTATGAGTCAATTCCGCCAAAAGCCTGCAATCAAGTGACAGGGGAATATATGGGAGGCGGCTAAGAGTCACTTTCAACAGATGAGCACCATGTACATTCTGGGAGAGCCTGGCAAGCTACCCGTGAGTATACTCTGCCCCCACGTTCAGAGCCCAGCAAGCCATGCGTAAGTATCAAAATGCTAAACACAGTAAAAAAACGTGCCTCATTCCCCTGGCCCGAAAGAGCTTCCAAATTCGCGGCGTTGGGTAGGACGAATACGGAGAGGCTGCTAAAATCTCAGAGTCAATGGAAACTGCCTGGATTATGAAGAACTATGGTGACGATCTGTACCTACAATGAATGTACACTTGCATCCTAGTCCTCGATAGAAGACTTGATCATGCAAGCAGGAAGGATGAAGTACGACGTCATCGGCCTGGCCGAGGCGAGAAGACGCCAGGCTTTCTACGCAGTCTATGACACCAGAGAGGAACCGTTCTTCGGAACATGCGAGAGTAGAAGAGTCGTCGGCGTCGGCGTTCTTGTCAACACGAGTTTGTTCATGAACATCGATTCATTCGAACAAGAGGAAGAAGAAGTCGAAGCGTTCTATAGGGACTTGGAGAAGTCCTACAGAGAAGACCACACATTCTTCAAGTTCACCATTGGAGATTTCAACGCCAAGATTAGGCCAAGAACGTCTGAAGAACGTCACATTGGGACCCACGGATTAGAGCAGAACGAACAGGGTGAGCGGCTGTCTGAGTTTATCACGTCGACCAAGACAATCCATGGTAATTCGCAATTCAAGAAGACCCACCCTCATCGCTGCACGTGGGACTCTCCCAATGGAGAGTACCATAACAATATGGACCACATCATAGTAAATGGAAGGTTTTGCCTAAGCGATGTCGCTGTTGTCCCAAATTCTACGCGGGATAAGACCATTGCCTCCTTCGTGCAAGATTCTATTTCTCGCGGAAAGGAGGAAAAGCCGCTAAATTCAAAATCCGAAGTCCCAGAACCACCGTAAACTGGGATTTATTCAATTCGTTAGTCGGTTGTTGGGAAGATGCCGTTGTCGATAACATTGACGAAGAATACGATCCGGCTCAATCAACATCTTCACGTTAGCGCTATGAAAGCTGAGAGTTCGAAAGTCACCAAGAGACGTGTGTCTCTAGAAACTCTCGAGCTGATACGCCAGCGTGAAATCGCGCGAGCTGCAGGGAACCTCAAAGTAACGCCCGAACTTGCAAAACAATGCAGATAGGCGATAAAAGAAGATCTTAAAGAGCCTACCGAAGCTTCGCCAATTACAAGAACAAAATGATTTCACTCCGGCCCCCAAACGGAATAGTTACAGCGTCCAGAAAGGCAATCGAGAAAATCATTCACGAATACTACTTGGATCTCTTCGACAGCCACGTCCACCTTCCGTCATCTGAAATAAAGGAGAACGGATATGTTGTACCACCGGCTCTTCCTTCCAAAATCCGACATGCCATTTCGTCGGTGAAAAGTCGAGCAGCACCAGGTGCGGAGAGGATAAAACCAGAACACCTGAAGAACCTTCCGCCAGCTCTCGTAAACACACTGGCTCGGCTCTACACACGTTGCTTATCTGAATGCAAGGTCCCTTGGGTATGACAGTTCTTCACAAAGAGCCTCGAAGAAAGATATGACGCTCGACGGGTCCCTAGAGCGAGCAGAACCCACTGGGGCCACTCTTGCACGCGACATGGAGAAATGGAAGATTTACTGACGCCCGCTCGAGTCACTCGATGATCAACGGGGCTACTGGTGATACAGGTGATTTACCTCGGCGGGACAAGATCTTGAAGTTGCTGAAGCTATGAATCCCTCGAAAAACTTTCCTAGCCACGCATTTTTTGTTGAAAATCGTCTTATGTGGTAGTTGTCAAGTGCTTGGGAGAAGCGTTAACTAGTTGGTAGGGGTCCATTTAGTATAACGGCTGTGGACAAGGTTTCGCAACCCAATTTGCTTGGTTAGATGCCGTTTCGCAGTAGAATTTTTTGATATACCTATACTTATATGTGTATATATATATTTATACATATACATACATATGTAAGCACATGTATATTAGTGCACGTACATATATACATATATATATATATATATATATGCATGTATATGCTTATATCGGCCTTAGTTTCCATAATTAGTTCATCTCCTTGATTTCTTGACAACATTTACCAGCTCTGACGGTTTAGCTAAGATCCAAGAAGTTATATTGGATAGCGTAGACACACGTCGACTACCAAAAACACCGTAACTAACTTCTAGAAGAAATTTTGTTTTGGGAACTGTTTTGGAACTTGAATGTCGACTCAACTGCTGTACTTTACACCGTCGATTGTCATGAAGAAGCCAGGTTTAATCGGACATCGCAATGAGATCCAGGAGTTGCTGCTTCTATTATTACAACAGAATCCGGGGCAGATTTCATAATGTTCACCTTTGGGCCTTCGGAGAATTCATTGCTTCGAAAACTGAGTTCAAAATATAAAAGATAAAACGTTATCTATGAATCAACCCCTGAGATAAGCGCCATGCAATCGAAATCATCATTTTTGCTAGAGGTGAATTAATAGGAACTATTCAATGATTTCCAGGACTTAATGATATATTAAGACTGTATTTTAACCCCCTAGGCAAATATGTTATTCCAGAGGCTTGTTAACCCCGGGCATGGGATCGAACCAGGGATCATGTATTTTACCAAAGGGCATTTCACTGCTCTACACGCGCCGCAATGGCTCTCGTTTTTACTAAAATAATTGTGTTTGTAGCTAGCTGTAATTTTCCCAAATTCTCTACTCATGACTTCTACACCATCCTTCCTTGGTACTGCTTGACAACATGACGATATCGTCAGCTAAACCAAGATTTAATAGAAATTTTCCATCAATACGTATGCCTTTCTGGTCCCACTCTAGTGACTTCATCATCTATTGTAATGTAGCAGTAAACAGCTATGGCAATATTGTATCGTCTTGCAGAATCCCTTTTACTATGGGTATGGTTAGAGACCAATGAAAAAGCTGTATATTCGTGCTGCAGTTCCTATAACAGTCTGCTAGTGTTTGTCTACAGGAGTGGCTCACTCTTTGGTCGACGAGTACTGATAAGATTTAATTCGCTTCGATGCTGTTAAACGCTTCCTCGTAGTCGATAAGGGTTAGAGCAAGGAGCAGATGGTATTCTCGATAGCAGACATCTATGACTCGCGTTACGGCTTGGACGTCTTTCTTGCAGGAGAATCCGTCGGAATCCTGCTTGCTCAACTGATCGTGCCTAACCCAAGGTCTTCGACATGCGCGAAAGGACAATCTTCGTAAAGAGCTTGAAAAGTGATCTCGACAAGCATATCAGGCGACAGTTACGAAGACCGCTTGGGTCCCCTTTTTTGGATAGGATGACCGACAGCGACACCCTCCAGTTATCTGGGATTTTCTACTTCTGAAAGGAAGATGTCGTGTGGGTTCCGAGAAGTAGATGTAATGTGTGGCTTCCAGCTTTAAGAAAATCGGTAGTGATATTATGAAGCACAAGAGCTGTGCTTTTTTCTCGTGTTTTCCGTTGGAACTCGAACCTCAGGTGGAAGAATTCTGGATGGTTCTCCTGCAGTACGATTCTAGGGTTCTGGACGGGGATTGTGGAACGGAATATATTGGTACAGAGCATCTCTGTTATTAATCCCATATCACGGCGGAACGTATTGATAAACCCGCCTTCGTTCTTATCATTATTCTTTAGGAACGCATCTCAGTTATGGGTGAGATATATCCAGTAGGAATAATGTTTATTAATTGGCAATGTTGATTGCTAAGCCGATGGTCACTATATCATGCTGTGTTTTTGCACAAAAAACTGAACTTCACAAGAAAGCCGCCTTTTCTAGATACTTTTCATGTGTAGTTGTAGTTTTTTTTTGTCATCGTATACATTTAAACCGAGGTGATGCGAGCGCAGTGGCTAATGATGCCATGCAGTGACACATGCATGGTCTTAGGTTCGACCACGCCCCTGGCGAGCTATGCTAACCATTCTATTGAGGCCGGGAAGATGGTGTTAGGCTTATTTGTCACAGTGAGAGTACGGACTTGATACATCGGCAGACTCGGTAGGCTCTGGCAAGCCACTGTATATGCAAATATGCATCCAGTTCTAATAATCTGCATGACGTATCGTTAAGGTTCCATCGTTTATCAATTCATTCCAAAGCATACGTCCATTTCAAATTATGCTAATGCCGCAAAGAAAGTGAATGTCCCCATAATTGGGCTTTCGTAACTACTCTGCGTAGATTTATCAATGAACAATCAAGGACTAAAAGATGAAGGATAAAGCTCTCGGCGTCGATCAATCCCTAAGGGAGGCGCCATGTATTCGACTTCATCAACCATCGTTGGAGCTGAATAAATGCATATCTAGCCTTTACAATAACTCATGATGGCCTACCGATGTATCGAGTCAGTGCTGGTGTCTTCCCATACAGGTATGGTACCGAGAAACCTCGGAGAAATGAAAGGCTCATAGGCCTGGGCCGCGGAGATCGATCCTAAATGTATTGCAGGGCGCCTCCAGCCACTGCACTGCACGTGAACCAAGGACCATTGATGATGATGGTTACCTGTACCTCATCTAGTACCTAACCTGAAGCAATGTCCGTATTTTTCCCGAAAGAGATAGACATTGTTACCGCCAGCATGTAATAACAACACCTAAACAATTCGGTTTGTCGTTAACTAAGGCTTAGGCACATTTTCAATTCACCTATTTCATCACTGAGGGAGATGGGTGGCGCGCTGGTTAGTGATGCCGTCGATCACAAGGCAAAGGTGCGAGTTCGACTCCTTAAAGCGCTCCTCCAATTCACGTGGTGACGCCTTAGCCCATCTATCTCCCAGATTGCAAGGAGAACTGATTCGACCAGAATTCTACGACAACCGTGAGGAAGACGAAATCCTCAAGCATTAACTGAAACAACACGAGGTATCTTCGAAGACCTTCGTGAACGATGAAAACAAATGGAATCCTAGAAGTGCTGGGTTCCACACCTTAGCTGTGACGACGGGCTATGTAAAATAATATAGGAAAAATCCTGAGTCACATATGGCTCACATGTGTAGTAACTTGTGGGAAAGCAGTAAGACGAATCTGACCACTTTGCTCGTCAAATCGAGCACAAGTCCGCAGCTGATTCGGCTGACGGATGATTTGATCCTTCATGACGTTTGATTACTCGCTAACTTCTGGGGTTTCCCTGTAGTTTCTGTTACTGATTTCGTTACAAAAATTGGATTAATATTTTTATTCTGACTACTATTTCTGTCAAAGTAGGCCTGTTGGGTGCCCGGGCCTCTTTTCATCTATTTGTTTCCCTATCGGATGGGTTTATATTGCGAAACATGGATTTTTTACGTGTCTAGTTCTTTTTTGTATCCAGTTTTCTTCATTTCTGCTTAGCGAACGAAGGTTTCACTCTTTAAGTATCCCCATGAGGGTTAACGAGGTTGTTTATCCCTTTGAGTCACTCGTTGGTTGTTATCCTTCATCATGATTTCCATTGTACTTTATGATGGTTGATTACTATTAAAACTCCGTATCGTTAGGTTGAAGATTGTGTGATTACGCGTAGCTAAGGCCTTAAGTGGTTTAATCAATGCTTAGCATAAGACGTGGCCAGTGATCGTTATGGTGATCACTGATTGCATAGAATCTCGTGTGGGCTAGGACGGAACAACTTGTTTGTCTCTACTTTTGTGACGTAGGGCTGACTCACGTCGGCAATTCAGGGCGTCTGCTTCATGTATAGTGAAATTCTGACTGTGGCTTGTAGTTTGATGTAAGCTTATTTCTCGCAGTAGTTTACAGAGTGGTAAATGTTTTGTGGTTCGTCGTATTTTTGACGCGTTTGTTTCATGTTCCCTGTGACTTTGCTTTCTTGAGTCATTCTGTCGGAGTTCTCGGTGGTCATCCTTTCAGGCTTCCTTTCATACTATTCAGAAAGGATTAGTTAAGCCATCAAAATGGCCACAGCGGTTGAGATGGCCATTGAAAAAATTGACGAGGTTAAGTCGAGGATTGGGCGGTGAGTATTGATAAATTCGTTCACTGCTTTCTTCCGAGCGTTAGAATAGACCGATTTTTGATGTCCTTTCTAATAATTGGCCCGTCGAGGTACGTCGTTTAGAACACTATAGGTTTTTAATTGTAAAGCATGTTTTTGGTGCTATATACTTTTTAAGTAACCCTTTAATTTACAATCTACGTATGATAATTCACAGAAAGGCATAACTTCAGTAATAATATATGTGGCCGTTTTTTAAAGCACCCTTGGTACTCCTATGCGCCTTCGAGATCTCATCCGTCAAGTCCGTGCGGCCCGAACAATGGCGGAGGAAAGAGCAGTTGTCGACAGAGAAAGTGCCAACATACGGTTCGTTATGATAGTTTTTTGTTTTTTTCGACAACGTTTTGAAAATGAGGCCCTGTTCGGTTTTTCAGCGATAGAAATGATAAGGCGTTTAGCGTTAATAGATCTCTTATGGATCTACCATGAATTCGACTCTACTCGTAAAATCTTAGAGCTGATTGAATTGAATCTACGCGTTCATGTGACAAGTCAAAGATTTTGTCCTTCCACATAAATCTGGCTCTGATTTACAGACTGTAGTAGAATGGGGACTTGCTTAACCCAGGGCGTGGTATGAAAACAAACAATGTGTCGTTTTCTTGTTCAGCAATCGCGAGGTTTTTAAACAGCATACATTTACTTCCATAGAACAACACAATACAATATAACGCTAGCTGACGTTTCGGCAGTATCGCCTTCTTCAGAGCCTGGAAGGGTATACTGAAATACAATCTACTAGGCCGAGTTCAGGTACGATATACCTGATCTCTTGTAATAATTGCGGAGATGAATATATTGGCGAAACGGGCAGACCTTTGTGTGTCCGTATAAAAGAACGCCTAGATGGAAAACGAAAACTACGACGAAGTACCCCACTAGGCACGCATAGGATACAAAAGCAGAGCGGAGACGATTTTGAAGTAAAGGCCAATATCCTTGCACAGGAGGTCAAAACACCAGCGCGAAAACTCCTTGAGGATGTTTGGATAAATGCCAAAAACCCTGCAATGAATAGCAGGGATGAATGCCCGGAGGTCATACGCAACCTGATCCCGCATGTTCGCATCGATTTTTGATGTGGGGTGGTGCAGTCATCAACCACATGCGATTATAATCAGCTGTGCTAAACTTCCTCATCGGAAGTCACGAAAAGGCGGTGGGTTTTTTCGAGTTGTTGATCGTGTAATTACCAAAGAGTTTTTCGTCTTTGTGTGTTATTGAAGCGTTTGGCCTAGTAGATTGTATTTCAGTATACTCTTCCAGGCTCTGAAGAAGGCGATACTGCCGAAACGTCAGCTAGCGTTGTATTGCATTGTGTTTTTCTATGGAAGTATATGTATGCTGTTTAAAAACCTTGCGATTGCTGAACAAGAAAACGACGCATTCATATTCCAATGCCGAGGTTAATAGAAAGTCGATCCTGGGAACTAAAACAAACATTGTTGTGGAGCACCTTTACCCATTGTGGTTATCCTTCCGCATAACTCTGATTCAAATTTACAGACCAGAGTAAGACGGGAACTGGCTTAGCCCTGAGCGTGGTATGGAACAGCCAACCGTGTATGTATTGTGTAACCTCTTTACCCATTGTTTTTATCCTTTCATATAACTCTGAGTCCAATTTACAGGCCGCACTAAGATGAGGCTTGCTTAGCCGAGGGTGTAGCGTAAAACAAACAGTCGTGTATGTATTGTGAAACCTCCTTACCCATTGTGCTGTACGTGTCGGTTTGCCGCTATTAGGGTCCGTTAGTATGGTACACTGAAGTCTTCAGTAAATTCATTGAACGGGATGGCAATTTGTTTCCTAAGGGCGTGCACAAAGATTAAGTGCAGCTGAGAAATGCATGCTTTTTTGGAAGAGGTAAGAATTAGTTCTGCAGATTTGGAATTGGAATGATTTTGAAATGTTGTGGGTTCAAGCCAGTATTAAAGAAATATAACGTAGAAAACAAATCTGCTTTTTTCCACATCATTGCCCTGAAAAGTGAGGGATGTTGAAGCGACTTTTATGTATCTGTCTTCTTGTTGTTAATAGCGTCAGTCCCTAGAAAAATAGCGTATATTGAAAGAACTTTCTCATCGACTACTCGTGCTTAACTATATGAGTCCTAGTAGTTTTAGAGAAAATTTCCGGGAAGACGAATCACCGTGGAAATGTCGAAATATAGCCAAATTGCTCTACATACACATGTTGGGATATCCAGCCCATTTCGGACAGGTTAGTCACACTAGATAGATAGCTGACTTTTGGTCTAGCATTACCAACAGAACAACGGCCAGCTTCCATTGTTTGTACACAAGTGGATGCTTTTTAATATTCACGTCATTCTATTATGATGAATATGAAATTTTTAAAATGGAGCACAAAAGTCTGATATTGGAAAGCTGCAACGTGTCGTCACATTGTCATTCTTACCTAATGCTTTTAGTATGGGCTGATTGCACTTACAACTAAATTTTATGTAGAGCTTGGAACGACTTACTGCTGTTTCACCGGTCATAGTGTTCCCTATTTAGATGGAATGTATGAAACTTGTTGCTCAACCTCGTTTCACAGACAAACGTATAGGTTATCTTGGTGCGATGCTGCTGTTGGATGAGCGCTCTGAAGTTCACTTACTTGTTACTAACTCACTAAAAAAGTAAGCAAGTGAATGCTTATGAAGTTGATTCTTCTCTGATTGTTTGAAATTGATTTCTGCTTGTCTCAGATTATTGATTTCCTTCTTTATTTTCAGTGACCTAAACGCTACAACACAATTTGTAACAGGACTTGCATTGTGCACACTCGGCTCAATCTGTTCAGCAGAAATGTGTCGCGATCTTGCGAACGAAGTGGAACGCTTAGTGAAAAGCAGTAACACATACATTAAGAAAAAAGTACATTGTTTTATAGAAAGGTAGAAAACTAGCTAAGAGAAAGGCGATACGAAGGGCCCGCATAATGTGGTGGTGAACGCGCTAGCCCCCGGAAAGGGTAATAGCGTGTTCGTTCCTCACTGCAGACACCAGCTGTCCGTTTGGAGTTTTGCGGATATCTCAACACCATTGTGGTTATATTATTTTACATCATAAAACCTTTTGTTTCAATTGTTTAACTCCTTTGGTTTGTCATATAATTTGCATTAACAAAAAATCCATCAAATGGTATAAATTACAATATTAAAAGAAAATAATAGTGTCATTGCAGGCGGCATTGTGTGCTTTCCGAGTTGTTCGGAAGGTTCCCGAGCTTATGGAAGTGTTTATCTCATGCACTCGTTCTCTATTAGGAGAAAAGAACCACGGTGAGTTCCAGGAAGTCCTTCCACTCTCTTTAGGTTTCTTTTTTCCATTTGGGATCATAGCGTTCTAGGAAGTTGATAGTGTTGATGTTTCTGCAGGTGTTCTTATGGGTGCAACAACGCTCGTGACAGAGATGTGTGAACGAAGTCCTGATGTATTGAATCACTTTAAGAAGGTAGTTTTCAACTTTATTTTTTATCATAGCAGCGTATTGTTAGGGTAAACAACTAGAAAGCCTTTTTAGCAATAGAAATCGTCACATATTATTTATTCTTGGTTTTTTTTTCATTCCTTTACGTTTTGAACAATTGTCCAAAGTTCTTCTGATTAATAGGTTTTCAGCTCGTTCCCAATTTAGTTCGCATCTTAAAGAACCTGCTTATGAGTGGTTATTCACCTGAACACGATGTTACCGGTATAAGTGATCCGTTTTTGCAAGTGCGTCTATATTTTGCTATACTAATGCTTATACTTTTGATACTGCGATGATCGGATGCACCCTGGAATACACATGGGATCGATCCCCGAGTCCCAGGTCTACCAAACCATCCATCCATCCGGCGTCCAGGTTGGCACAAGACTTGTCTGACGGGATAGAAACACTGGCTGGATACATCGGTAGGCCACAGAGAGTCATTGTAAAGGCCAGATATGCATCCAGTTATTTCAAACGGTGCGTAATGAAGTTGAATGCATGGCCTATCCCTCAGGGTTTTATCAACGCCAAGAGCTTTTCCTATTGTCTTTTTAATGCTTATACTGTTGTCGCACTTTGTTTTCCCACTTATTTTTCTTCCTTATCTTTTGTGGCTCATATTTAGGTGAAAATTTTGCGATTACTGAGGGTTCTAGGTAAGGATGATCCTCGAGCAACTGAAGAAATGAATGATATTCTTGCACAGGTATTTTTTAGCCTTCCGTTTTTTGGTATTTTTCAACCATAATCTTTCTATCTGATTGAATTGTTTTTTGTTTTCATGTTGCTACCAACACTGAAACTGCAAAGAATGTCGGAAATGCTATCCTCTACGAAACCGTTCTTACAATAATGGAAATTAAAAGTGAAAGGCAGGGTTCTTATTTTTATAATAGTAGTTTCCATTATTAACACCGAACCTCTCTACTTTCAGTGGACTAAGGGTTCTTGCTGTCAATATTCTGGGGCGTTTTCTGTTGAACCCAGATAAAAATATCCGGTTTGTGTCGGATCTCTTATTTTTTAAAAGAAATTTAAAAAGTGGTTTTAAAAATTACCATAAGCTTTTTTTGTTACTGTTTTCTACTTCTACTTTAAAATATTCAAGGTATGTCGCTTTGAATACGCTTTTGAAAACCGTGACCATAGACTACCAAGCAGTACAACGCCATCGCACTACGGTTGTGGATTGCCTGAAAGATCCAGATGTTTCAATAAGGAAGTGGGTGGACGTTTCTTCATATATAAATCCGTGTTAGTGTAGCTGTACTCAAAGTGTCTTAACTTTTATTTACTACCTATTATTTTGTTAAGATAAGGTATTACGTGAAAAACAACCACAATGGCGCTGAGATATTTGCGAAGCTCAGACCCCAGGCAGATTCGAACCCGTGATTACCTTTCCGTGCGATAACGTGCTATCCTCCACACCAACCAAAACTCTTACTTTTTCTTTGTCCGATCTAGTTATTTACGCTGACGGTGCTATTACCAGTCATCCCTCAACAGAAACGATCTGTGGAGCACAAGTTAGCACTGAGCCTAGTTTATCCGAAGCTGATGTCGAAATTACAATGCCTTAACGCTTATTTAGTACTCATTCTTTTCTAGTAGTAGAGTACGATGTGAACTATAACCAGATGGAGCTGAATGGGGATGATCAGGAGAGCACAAATCTGTTTACGGATGGTTGCTCATGGCACCGATAGGGTATAAACTTGAGTGAGAGAAAGGCAGAACAAGGGTCTGGGTTGGTATGGTGGATAGCAAGTGAGCTCTGATAAGGCTAATCGCGAGTCCGATGCACAACCGAGATACCGGTTTTTGTTCATATCTCAGCATTCTTGTGTTTATACTCAGAGTGTTTTTTTGACTCTTATTCTTCACCAGAAATTTCTTTTGAATGTTCACCAAAAAAGGTAAGTTCATTTTTGGAGTTGTATAGCACTTAGAGTATTTATTTCTTTGGTTCTTCTACGCCTTACGTTCTTCTGTTGCTTCTTTCTTTTCATTATTTGGCTTATATCGACGTATATTACATTTTCTAGTTTCCATCCTTTTTGGCGAACTTTTATTGAAACGTGTAGTTCCATTTAAATTTGGTTCTTTTTTTACTCCACTGTTTTTTTTCAGACGTGCATTGGAATTATGTTTTGCATTAATGAACAAAACAAATATCGCAAATATGACTAAGGAGATTCTCATCTTTTTGGAAACGGCAGATCCAGAATTTAAGGTCGGTTTCTTGCTCTTTGACTCAGGTATCCCTTTCTTGTTTTTAGAGAATTTTCAGGATTTTGACCTTTTCTAGTCCATCTGTACCTATACCTTGACGGCATTGTTGTGTTTTTCCTTTTCAGTCTGAATGTGCCTCTAAGATGTACGTTGCCACGGAAAGGTATTCACCAAATCATGAATGGCATCTCGATACGATGATTACCGTTCTACGCCTAGTGCGTTTGTTATAAGGACAACATGGTTTAGTTAATTCCTACGCTGTGGAGATCTCTATGAGTATTATTTTTTAGGCCGGTAACTTCGTTCCTGATGAAGTGGTGTCATGTATGATTCAGCTAATATCGTCTCACAGTGAGCTGCAACATTATGGGGCTTTGCAGCTCTACCGCGCTGCCCAACATGACTCGACGAATGCTCAACCTCTTTTACAGGTTATGCTTTTTATCTGGCTTTCGCTGGCTCCTAGAAACTCTTTTTGTTCATGCCTGTTCTATTTTTCGGATTCTTTGGCACGTGTTAAACACTTACACAGTCAAAGTGGAATTTGAAACAAGATTTTTTAAGAAGTCCATGCCACTACTAACAGAAATCAAATAGGTTTTTCTGTCTGTGAAATGCAAATAAGTACTAGTTTAAGGTCAGCTATCTAGAGGCGGTGAGCTTGTTATGATTCACAGCTTGTATGTTCTGAAAATACAGTTTATATCCAGGTGGCATTTTGGACTATTGGCGAGTTTGGTGATTTACTACTTCAACCGGCCGACGCTGACTCAGCTAAGGTACACTTCTCTGGTGATTCGTTAGTTTTCAAAACGACGAAGTTACAGACATTTCGATTGTCACTCAACTCAAAATAATCTGATGTTGTTCCAACAGTTTTAAGGTCGAGGAGTCGGACGTCATAGCAGTTTTCGAGGCAGTTCTTCCATCCACGCTCACTTCCCTATCAACGAAATGCTATGCTGTTATGGCGCTGGCAAAGCTAGCAACTAGGTTTGTGTTGTTATAGAAAAGTAGCGTAGCCCTTTCAGGCATTTATTTTATTGCATTATGGTTTTATTTTAGTTGGGACGATTTTGTCAGGAAAATGTGAGGCTTTTATTCCGTTGATGCTTTATATTTGCCATTCTAAAAGTGTTTTGTAGGTTTGGTCCTACAGTTGATCGTATTAATGCCCTCGTTCGTACCAACCAAGCACACATTCACCTTGAGCTCCAGCAACGATCTGTGGAGTTCTCTCGGCTTCTAGATTGCGGCGACATCAAGTTGGTTATTTCGAGATGGAACAAATGTTTTTTGCAGAATAGACTAATGTTTCCTATCTCGGATTTTATCTCACTCAGATATGGACTGCTCGAGCGTATGCCGGTCATAACACATAATTCGCTTAACGCTGCTGCTGCTCCAATTGAAGAGTGTCTCGTTGAAGAATCATTGCAAAATGCAGCAACAACTGCACCTGTTGCTCCGACGTCTAATGTTGATCTTCTCGATCAATTGGCTTCTTTAGAACCAGTAGTTTCAGAAACGAGTAAAACGGTTAGTTGAGTCCGTTCCTTCCTTTTTTTTAAAGCATCCATTAAGATTCCAGTCATAATACAATGGAAAGTCGTAGAGTCAATCACGCTATTTTTACTTCCACAGAGCACTAACAACGACTTGTTCGATCTTATGAACGCATCATCCGTATCCCGAGTAGCAGGAACGAATTTAGTGGTGGATACTAATCTTTTAGGAGGTTAGTCAGAATGGTTGTTATTTGTTATTCTGGGAAGGAAAAGTATTATTAGGATTGTTATCTGTGTCAGTTTCGAATCCAACATCGGCTGTTGCCGGCATTGGAGATCCGTTTGATCTTCTTGACGGATTTGGTGCCACATTACCTGCTTCTGCGTAAGTTAATTGCGCCAGAATTTTCTCGCTTTTTATAGTCTGGTTTATCTGGACGCTTGATTAAGATTAATTTCCACCGACATGTTTAGAGCTGTGAATCCTGAACGAGTCCTCGCTTTAAACACCAGCGGTATTGAGGCACACATCATGGTTCTGAATCGAGGATGGGCGGGTGATATAGCGCAGTTGAAAGTGGAAGTGGTTAATAACACACCAGAAACCGTTCGTGACTTTGCATTTCAAGCAGCTGTCACTAAAGTCAGTGTTGTTTCTGTTCATAAAATTTGGAGGAATAATATCATCTTGTTGATATGTTCTTCTTTATTTTCCTATCCTTTTCTAGGCTTTTACCATCGAGTTACAAACACCATCATCCTCAATGTTAGAGCCAATGGGTGGATCTTCAATAATTCAGAACATAAAAATAACGAGAATTTCACATGGACAGCCTGTAAGTGAAGTTATTTGTCTTCATCGTTTAGCCAATGTTTTGTGTAATGAGATGTTGTTAAGTTGTCCCCTCAATAAATTTTGATTGTATCATTAATGCCGATTTGTGCTCTCTAGGTCAGTCCCGTTGACAGATGACTGCTGATAGCGCCTATAAAATACGGCTGTGAGAAAGCCGAAACGAAGTACGCGCAGTTTCGTGGTGAACATGTTAGGGCCCGGCAAGGATAATAGCCAAGTTCAGTCCCCGCCGTAGACATCTGCGGTGCGGCATTTTGAAAATATCTCATAAAAAAATAAAACACTTCACATTATGTCCTGTCGTGAAAAATGAATAGGCGGTAGAAAAGTGCTTACATTGTGTAGTTTTTTTTAAAGAAGACATGTTTCAATTTCATACAAAACCCATATTATATTGTGAAAGAGTTCAGTGAAGTAATTTTTCAGTCCAAGTATTTTAGCTACTTACTTGGATACTTAGATAGCCCGTCCACACTGGTTGTGCGGGCCCCAGCAAAATTTTCACTTTTCGGACCTTTGCTAGTTAAGCCACAGTGATTTTCTGGAGTACTGAAGTCGGCGCGGTCAAAGTCTACTCCGGGTCGTAACCACGTCAGGCACTCACCGCCTTTGTGGATCAGGGGGAGATTTACCACCATGCGGATAGTTTGATACCAAGACGGTGGTGGATCCTGGTATTAGTTAACCCGTAGCTGGGATTCTTGATGGAAACGCCGGACTTCTTAGTTTGCGAGACCCTGTTGGGAGAGGAATCCCCGCGCTGTACATCGCAGCTCAACATACAGGAACATCTTCGAGCCACGATGAGGCGGATGAACTTTTGGAGCAGTATTTTAGTTAATGTTGAAAATTCGGAAAGCTTCATATACTTGAAGGGGTCTTTTGATTCGTCGATGTACGCATAACTTTTAAAATTTCAGTGAGATTGATTTTAGTGTTGTTGTTTTACTCTATAATTACACAGTGCTTGTAGAACACTTGTCTAATTCATTGGTATTTTGACGTGTTTCATACAACATTATTTTCTCTCGTGATTTTTTATTTACTGCCTACTTCTTTCTGATGACCTGGTATTCTGTGAAATATAACCGTAATGATGCCAAGATATTTGCAAAACTCCGCGCCGCTGTTGCCTACGGTGGAGACCGACCATACTATTAGCCTTTCCGGGGGCTAACATGTTCACCACCGCACCATGCGAGTCAATCGTTTCGCCTTTCTCTCAGCCGTGTTATTGACGTATAGACTCTATCAGCAGTCACCTATCTCATTATAGTTTTAAGCAGCAGTATGAATGTTTTCTGTTCCAAACGGCAACTTACGTTTTACAGCTTTACGTTGTATCCTACGTTTTTGGAGGATGCTTCTTTCCCATCTACTTTTCATGAACTTCTTTTAGCTTCGGATGCGTACACGGGCTATATATACCTCGAATGGTATATCACATAAGATTCAAGGAGAAGTGAATCGATTCCCGGGATTGGATTGACTAAAGTTTTGAATCTCGTAGCTGCAATGCAATTAATCTAACGATAGTAGGATTTTGGAGGACCGATGAACGTGTTTGCTGTCAAAGATACCAGAATTATGTTGAGTTTGAAATTTTTTTTATTGGGCACTCTTATGTCGGCGTGGCAGTTGATTAATGGCTGATCAATTTCTTGCATGTCATGTTAGAACTAGAATGTTAAGGATTGTTCTTTCGACTTCTTATTTCATTATTTTGAAGTAATCTGACCGTTGTGGTTTTCTTTTGTATCCAAAAGGACGAGGTAGTTTAAATATGTTGTTCTTATTTCTTTGTTCTGATGTTTGTTCTGGTTTCGTTCTTCTGTGATTTTATTCTCTTGAGCTTTGTAACCCATGTTCCGCTTGTTTCACAGTTCTTAGTGCACTTGCGTAAGTTATATTTACTAGCGTTTTGTTTATGTCTCATCCTTCCAACCGTTGTAGTCCATTCAACCCTCTTGTGATTTATTAGACGTAAGAAAATCAATAGTTGGAAGATATAGTTTTATCGATGCTTAGATAGTACTTGTTTACCAGAAGCTATAGCAGTTTGGTACACACTAGCAATTGAAAGCTGCCTTATTGATTGATTCCAAAAAGACCTTTTTCCATGTTTTGAAATTCATTTGCTCTCTGCTCCTCTAGCGAAGTGATAAGTAAGTTGTCAAGATGACGATTACGAACTTTTATTTACTGTGAATCACTTTTGTCTCACGAGGCTGTTTGGTAGCGTCTGTTTTTGTGAAGTTCTTTGATCTCGTGCACGAAATTCTAGATTTACTTTTGTTATTTAGAAGTAAAATTGGGAAGTACCCTTACCTTCACAAGTATCATTTCATCAAACAGTTTCAAATTTCTTATATTTGTTCTCTCTATGGATTCATGGTTGGTTACGATGAATGCACAGTTTTTCAGTAATAATAACAGTACTAATAAAGTTCTTACCTTGTCGTTAGTTCTCATGTTTCTGTTGAAATCTTATTAGATATCGAGGGCTTGCGCCCATGTTTGGGCGTCTCTATCTCTTTCAAAGTCTGGATAAAGCAGTTATACGTTCATCTAAGTTACTAACCAGTATAATACACTAGTTATTTCTTCTGTTACAATAATTTCTGAATAAATTGTTTGCTAAGTCAATGTGATCGTATGGCAGTGGAGGCCGAGCCGTTATACTACTTTGATATTTTTTGAAATCCTACGTTAAATAGCGCGCGTATAACGCAGTGGTACGAGGCGCCGTGCAAAACAAATAGGATCGATCCTCCGCATCCCAGCCCCACCAAGCCCTCTATCTCTCCGAGGTCGGCGAATTGGTACTAGACTAGGCTGGAAGGATTTCAGCACTGGCCCGATACATCGGCAGGCCACCTTCCAACGATGCTTAGTGGAGTTGAATGAATAGCGCATTCATCAGGGATTGATCAATGCGGAGACCTCTTTTAGCCTTTTATAGGATACGTTTTTCTACTTCGGTTGGGCCGTTTTGTAACAAATTTGGCACCCCGTTACGTAACGACGGAGAACAGAATATATGACGACGAGAATTCTCTCTCATAAATGCCTAACACCCAAACTTTGTTAAGGGTTGCATAGCTAAGCTTCAAGCTACATTTCTTAAATTGCTTAGTGTGTCTGTTAGTATGATTAATGTATAGGAAAGATTTTTGATGACAAATTCATTTAGTTAGCCATCATCGTGTGCATTAGAAATTCTGCTGGAGTTGGTCGTTTCTGGAAATTGCTATTACTTACTTGGATACTTAGATACCAGTTTGATACCAGGACTTGGTGGATCCTTGCATTTGTTTAGTATTGGCTGCGTTTCCTGATGGAAAGTCCCGCTGTACATCGCAGCCCGACACACAAGAACAACTAACCGCAATGAGACGGAAAATCGTTGGTGGAATTGCTGTTAGAAATACAATTACTTGGATACATGAGTGATGCGTTTGCATGTATTGTGCCGACCCTATCCCATCTTCAATGTGTTCCGTTGCCTTCCGTTATCCATGGAATTGGTTCAGTTAGTGCGTGAGTTTGGCTGACAGGCTCTTCCTACCACTGACATGCTGAACATATGCTAAGGAGTTCGTATGTCTTCACAACGAATAAGCGGACCCTCACATCCCATTATCGGAGTGGAGTTTTTCGATGTGGGGCTATAATTCTTTCAGAACAAAATAGAACAATTCGGAACCACAGCAACTGCGTTGGAATTCTGTAAAGTATCAGATTACACCCTCACCTTAACTGCGTCTAATACCGATTTGTGCTCCCAAGATCACTCTCGTTCACAGGTGATTGCTGATATCACCGTTAGTAAACTGGCTGATAGAAAAACAGAGTAACGGTGTCAATGGTGCAATCGGTAACACGTGAATCCTCGGAAACGTAGTCACGGGTTTGAATCTGGCCTGGAGTCAACGTTTTGCAAACATTTCATCATCATAGTGATTGTATCCCGTAAGATAATTGAGTAGTGTGCTGACCATATGTCACACTATTTTTGCGAACTGTTCGGAGTGGATTGTTGCCTTGAAAGATGCAGCGTTATATGAGGGAAATGTGCATTCCAGTCATCTATGCTCACGGTGGTAGTGAACTGAAGTAACAAAATACATTGGGAAAATGAATGAAGCTTGTGATGACGAGGCGGAGGTCATTCTTAGAGCACCAACTTCAGGTTCACTCCTGGACGGGACCACAGGACTTTCTTCCTGACCTGGCATGCTGACCTTTTGCTACGATCATGTGACAGCTAGCTATGTTCTTGTTATCACTGTTGGTATTACTACGTTCTGTTGACACAATGACAGCAGAATCTTAGTTAAAAACGAATTAAAGTTTCATTTCTTTACTATTTACTTTCGTTACGATTACAACCTTAGGACGATGACAGCAGAAGCTGTTCTACCTTGTCATTCTTTCTCTTCAGTGTTGCTTTCGCGGCACTTAAACTACCAGCTACTTTTCTTAGATATGATATACTGATACAACCACAATGTTGCTGAGATATTTGCAAGACTCCGAACTGTAGGTGTTTGCGACGAGGATGGAACTCGCTATTACCCTTTCAGGGGGCTGACGCGTTCACCACCACACTATACGGGTCCTTCATTTCGCTTCTTAGTTATATTGATGACATGTTGATTCCGCAATAAAATGAGTCCTCAGTAACTATTTTTGCTTAGAAGGATAATAATAACAGCTGTAGTTGTTCTTGTTGAGAAGACGGCACATTTACCTTGCTTAACTGACTCCACAAAGAATCCTATCGTCGAAAATCGCTTTCTTTCATGAGATTGGCTTGTAATCGGTGTTTGTTGTTGAGTTCATCGAGCTAGTAAACCTTAGCACTTAGCGCTCGAATGATGCTTTGTCAAGGTTCTGAGTCTTCAGTTGTAGATTCGCTAACGGTTTAATAAGTTGGTCAATTGTAAAACTTCACAAGTAGCTCGCAACAAATCTCTTGAAAGCTTTGAATGTTCAACGGTCCGATTTTTCGAAGTGAAAATAGTAACAGTGTGGGCAGCAATGACACCTAGTTATCGCTGCCTGTTACCTGATCTGCTTAAATCAGTAGTAATATTCCTAATCATGTGTTCCTTTCCAGCGAGTGGCTTTCTCTTGAGTTCCGCGGAAACGTGACCTTGCATGGGTTCATAGGTGTGGGACCTTGTAGACGGTGTGACTTTTATATGAATCGTCTTCCTTCCGATGGATTATTCTGGAGCACAGAACTTTTGCCCTACTATTATATCTTTCTTGTAATCATTTGGAATCTTATCGAACACGATTGTTGAGACGTGTGTCAAAAGGCATGCATGGCTACTCTCACTTTGCGTAGAGCTAGAACTTTACCCTAAGGGAGCCGGTGTTTATTCTTTAGGTTGTGGCCACATAGTGAATGTAAGAAACGTGGACTAATGATGGTTATGTTGCTGTTGAAATCTTCAAACCTTTTTTTACGTTTGGTTTATCATCAGTCTTCTTTTCAGGAATTGAAAATTGCGCTTAGAAATTTTTCACTATGTTGGGTGTTAAAGATAAATTCAACTCAGGAAACTCTTTCTTTCCCGCATTTCAAAACTTAAGAAGGTAGCATGGTTCATTAGTTCAATCAGGGCATGTTTTGTTAACTTATCTATCACCAGTCTTTACCGTTCTCGGTCTTTGGGAGCCAAACCGAGTTCCACTCGCGTGTTGCAACAAAGCCGTTCTACGAGTCGTTGCATCTCCATAGCCAAAAGGCATTTCAATTTCACTAGTTTTTTGACTGGAGGGCTTCATCGGGGGCAAAATGTATTGCTCGACAGATCGTTTAGTAGTGACTAATGAGTTCATGAACTTTTGCATGACATGTATGTAAACTGTTAAGCTTACACGAGGTTGATAAACTAACTTTATTCGGCTAACGTTTCGACATCTTCATCTTCATCAGAGCCGATGATCCGAGTGCAACAGGTACGTCGTACGACAACGAAGAGTACAAATCGAGGAGGCGAACAGATGCGGACTATCGGCTCGGATCATCATCGGCTCTGATGAAGACGAAGACGTCGAAACGTTATCCGAGTGAAGCTGACTTATCAACCTCATGTAAGCTCAACATGCTGAACACATGCTGATTATTTTAAATGCTGATTTGGTTACTTAGATGACCGCTCTTCATTCGTTGTGCGGGGCTCAGCATAATTTGTATTTTTTGCGGAGGATTTCCGGAATATTTATCGCTGTTTGTTTTTCCACTCCCCATACTAATTATGAACAGTCACGTTGCTCAAAGGACTTTGTGAAATGAAATTTGGTGTATGTTGTCTTCATACTACAGTGATTTTATTCCTTAATTATTAAAATGGCGCTTGTAGCACAGTGGTCGGAGACGCCCTGCAATATAATGGGATCGTTCCCCGCGCCTTCTTAGGTCCACCAAGCCCTCCATCCCTCTGGGGTGGGCAAATTGGTACCACACTTCTCTGGGAGGATAGCAGCACTGGTTGGATACATCGGTAGGCCACTGCGGGTCATTATAAAGGCCAGATATGAGGTCAGATATGCATTCAATCACCTCTAACGCTTAATGAAGTCGAATGCACGGCGCATTCCTCAGGGATTGATCGACGCCGAAAGCTTTATCCTTTCAGCCTTTATTTTGTGGATTTGAGTCATCATCGACGGTGTACAAGTGCTACTCACAGCATTTTCTTTTTCAAATGTCGAACTATTTGCGACGCTCTAACAACTGGCATTTGAAATATGACGAAAGCAAAGTGATAAGATTAGAAAATTATTACTGGGGTTTGATTGTGGCACATTTATCATGTGATGTTACCATAATGCTAATATCATTTCTTCCAATTCCAGGGCTGAAGTACTGCTGGCACTAACTGTGCAGATGAAGCAGTAACTTTAGTATCACAAGTGGATACTGGAAGACTGGACTGTGAAAAATGGGAGATTTTCGATCTTTAGCGGCTCAAGTTTTGTAATATGTTAGGATGTTTCTCGCATTATGATTATAGTCACACAATCTATGTTCTGTTGTCTCTTCATTGTCCATGCGTTCTATTCGTTCTTTTTTTTCCTTCACGGATGCATTCTGTTGTGTTTTCAGTTAAAATAAGGTGTTCCTTAAATGATTACCGGATTAATAGACAGAAGATATTGGTACTAAATAGAAATATTTTACTTTTCTTTTAGCACAAAATTTTTCAGATTTTATCCTGTGACGTCGCCAGACGATAGGATTCTCTAAGACGCATAAACATTGTTCTTGTACATGAAGAGGTATAGCAGGGTAACTTCTATTCCTTACTAGGATTAGATTTAGTATTTCTTTCTTGATAAGTTTATTTTCGACCTCTAACCCGGTTTTTTTTTCTCCTCACTACAGCTTTTTTTTCTTGGCAGTACTCTGCTTGAACATCCGTCCAAAAAGACCTGTGGAGGTTTCGGCAGAGTTTTCATTAGATTGGTATCTAGCTTCATAGGAAGATATTTTTTTACATAAAGAGTAAAGTATAGGGCTCTTGGCGTTAACGAATCTAGAGATGTGCCATGCATTCAATTTCATTAATCATCGTTGGAGGTAATTGAATGCATATCTGGTTTTTGCAATGACCTTTCGCCTATGGGTTTATCTTATTTTGTAGAAGCGGTTCACTCTAAAGTGTGTTCTTGGTGCATTAAAACAGTTTGTATTTATCTTTTTAAGCGGGTGGTTTTTAGAATTAACTGTGATTTCTCCTATTCCTCTTAGTATGAGGTGAATTGGTTCATTTCTATCATTGGACTGGACTTCTTTAATAAGTGGTACTATTTGGCCAAGGTGGTTCTCATATATACACATAGTCGTTGGGTCGGAATGTGTTGCCGATTCCACACTTAATAGGTGTTTGTTTCCTTTAGCATAAAAGAAATCAAGTCTAGAGTGTTAAAATGGACAGATATGAAGTCGAATTGAAACAGGGAGGTAGTAATTGAAATTTTCTCATTTACATGCTTCCTTTATTTTGATATCATTTGTCGAGATTAATTTCTAAACGTTAATATAACAGGTTGGCGTGCAAGGTGGATCGACGACGTTAGGGGAATTAATGCGCACAGATGGTCACTGAGCCGCAACTGGATCGTACCGTCGATTCAGAGACGTTATGGCTCCCATGCGAACTAACAGGGCCCGGTTGGAAAGCACGTGGTGATCGCATACCTGCCGACAAACGAGTGCCATTTAACCGACCAACAGCAAAGCAGGTAAGTGGCGTATTTCTTATTAACCGTAAATACCTGATTTTGAAAAGAATATAAGCGCTTATTTAGATTCTCGACGCTCTTCCATTTGTTACACGATACTTCTTTTATTGGGTGAAGCATACTTTCGACAAAGAGAAGCTGTTCATCAACACTTTTCAGCCGCTTAAACACAAACCATTTTATGGTATGTTCAAAAACTTAGGCGTCGATTACCATTTTCTGGTAGTTCATGAAAATTCACTTTCTAGCCCAATAGGGATAAAAGGGACACCGCATAATTCTCTAAAATATGGATTTAATCAATGTGTATTATTTCAACCTTCCTACGCTTTATCGCCGCATCGTGCCTTAGAGGTATTTCTAGGTGTCCAGCTGTGATGTAAAGCAGGGGATTCATCCCCCAGCGGGTTCTTCTAATTTGAGAAGGAGTCTAGTGTTATGATTAGGAAGCCAACTAAGAGTACATCAATGCCAGGATCCACTATCGTCCAGGTATCAAACAAGTCGCATAGTAGCAAACCTCCCTCTGACCCTCTGACCCACAACGACGGCGACTACCATTGGTGGTGACCACCTGTGGTAGACTTTGGCCTGGCTGACCACGGGACTCCATGGAACCACTATTACTAACCTACCAAGACTCCGATGAAATGGAAATTATGCTGAGGCTCACAGAGCCAGTGAAGGCTGGCTATCCAAGTAAGTAAGTTATTATTTCAACCGCACATTTTACCCCTATGCAATTTCTGATAGATTTTACCATTCAAAGTTCGCTATGAAGTGGCCTATACTGTGTGATCACAAAGCAGATTATGTTTTTAAGGCGTTCCATGTGGTGGTATTGGTTGTGGTGCTATGGGACGCGATTTTCGTGGTGGTTTCTGCAAGTTTAGTTTGCGACCTGGACTTGTGGAACACAAAGTGGACATAATTCCTGTATGTTTATTGTTATTGAAAGATCACAATAATTATCAACATTCTTACTTTCCGCTCTACTGACAGGTTTGAACGCGAATGTTGTAGGATTTTTGGCTCTACACGTCATAGTTTTATCTACCATACGTACGAAAGATTCATATAGACGAAAAGTGAACTGAGAAGTAAGAATTTTAAGTCCTGGCTCAGCTTCCTTGTAACTCAGTGGATGAAAGTGCCCTGCAATACACAAAGGGTCACTGGTTCGATCTTTAATCTTGAGTGATCCACGCTGTTCACCTCGAGATTGTCATGTTGGACTGGAGTTGAATACATGCGCCACTCCTAAGACAGTAGTTTACACCGATGAATCAATCATTTATTTTCCTAGTAAAGTACGGACTCGTGTAGTCCACGTGCTGTGATCGCATTGGAGAAGTCATTACAAAATATTTTCAGGCTAACCACTTTATTTTGTCAGTGCGCTGTGATGGTCGTTGTATATATCAGAAAGTGCTATCCTGTGCTGACATGGCACTCTCCGGTCAGCAGCTGAGTGCTTGGGACTTCTCATTTCCGAAGAAGGATTTGTACTACAGGTTCGTTACAGTCATCGTACACATGTTCTATGTTTATCTATTTTCACCTATACGTATGTTTTTCTCTATTTTATTGAAATCCTTGATAATAACCTAGAACATTCATCGCAAGAGAAACTGTACGTTATATGATTCATCAGCGATTTTCATTTTCAGGACTGTTTTTTAACGGCACTGAAACTGACAGTGGGATACACGTATTGTTTAGACATGTATAATACCCAAATTTATTTATCCAGTGCTAAAATTTCTATGGCGACGTACTGCTGCGTGGATAGCCTTCATTGCTGACCTCAAATCAGACCCATCATTACCGTCAACCGCTGGGTCGTTTGGTATTCTGTCGGAATCGTGGATGGTGTTCTTTTCCATCATTTGCACTAACTGTTCAGTTAATCTGTTAAATTGATCGCTTTCACGCTTCGCGACTCGTAGTTTGTCGAGTCGCTCGTTGTTTTCCCTGTTGTCCTTCTCTTTTTGTTCCTTCCATTTTTTTGGAATATTAGGTTGAGGAATGGTGACTTGTGCACGACGCGCTGCTGCGTATGTATTCGCTAAGACAAATGCTTCTTTAGTGAGATCTTCAGGACAACTATCCCAGTACTCGCCACGTAGTACTTTTTTGTGCTCCTCGAATAACTCTGCCGATGTGAAACACACTGTGCGCCTGAAAGTATTTGTTCTTTAGATCAACGTCATGATTGTTTCATACGGACGTGCTGCAAAAGTTAGCGTATTTCTCGTCGTTTAGGGGTGTCATGTGACAGATTCGACTTGTTACTATTAAATTCTATCGTAAAATATCGAAATGCCATTTAACAAGCTCTATTTCGACAATCGTATAGAAAAAAACATTGCAGCTTACTGTCCTTCACTCACTAAAACACTTGACTGGCCCGTTCTCACTAGTTGTGTGGGCTCCAGCATAATTTCCATTTTTTTTTTGGAGTTTTACTGGTTAAGCCATTGTGGTTCCCTGGAATCCTGAGGTTTGCCTAGCCAAAGTCTACTCCAGGTCATCACCATCACAGGTAGTCGTCGCCCTTGTGGATCAGAGGGGATTTGCCACCATGTGACTAGTTTGATACCAGGACGGTGGTGGATCCTGATATTGCTTTGCTCTTAGCTAGGCTTCTTGGTGGAAACGTCGGACTCTGTCTCAGCTTGGGAGACCCTGGGAGATGAATCTCTCTGGTACTTGGTAGCCTGACACCCAGGAATACCTCTTAGCCACTGTAAGGCAGTAAACTGTTGGGAAGGTATGTGCCCATATTCAGGGAAAATTAGAACAAAGCTTTAAAAATGCTACGTACTTTTGTATCAGTTCATAATTCAAGTGTTATTTTTCCTTTCCTTGATATTTCCAGTAACAGGAGATCTTACATCTACTTACCTTGGCATAGGTCTAAGATCTTCAAATTCACGACGTTCGGCTGCTTCTCGTTTGTTGTAGTCGTTGTCGCTTTCCCATTTTCGTGGATTTTTTCCATACGACGGTATAATTTTGCGCTCATCTTCTCCGAATAAAATATCTCCTGTAAAAATGCTCTTTAGAATGTCGTCAACTATTTCGATCTGTATTTCAACATATTCAAGAAAATACTAAGAAAGAGTAAAAAACAAAGAATAACCAAAATACTTGCGAGAACTTACCATTTTTTCGCCATCCAATTATTTTACGCAGACCCTCTTCATAATGTCGCAGTTCCATGCTTTCAGCGACAAGTTTGGCCTTCGACGTTGGCTGGTGCAAAAATCCCCGGTTTGTTGCCGGGAGTGCTTGTCGCTCTTGCTGACGAGCGATCGCAGCATGATAGGTCACCTAAGATGTGTTAACTATTAGATAAATTTTATTGGAAAGATTTGAAGGCTGTATATATTTATAAGTGTCAGCGAATTAATTAAGCTTGCCTTACTTCCATAACAATTTCTCGTGCTATGAAATCTAGTACATAGATTAGATCAGTCTGCAAATCGGGAAAACCAAGGAATTCGTGAAATCGATGGGCACGAAATGCAGAACTGAAAACATTGTCTTCATTAATAGCTCTGTTCTTGTACATTCCCAAATAACATTTATATAGTTCGAGATCAAGTCCTTAAAAAAGTAGTTAATCCATCAGACTCACAGTCTTCCCGTCCTACTGCAATATGAAACACGTCTAGCATAATTCAGTAGTTCTTTATGTTCATCTGAAAGATGGCGATTTCTATGCTTGAGAAACATCTTGGTGTTTGCAAGATCTGGATCACAGTCCTGTATATGTCGTTCTTCACATAAAAAGTCGAGCTGATCTTCATAGCTTACTTTGAGAGCGTTGTAGATGTGAGGAGCCCTTAACGATTGACGTTAAAGATACGAATAAGGAATCCGATGAAGTTCAACAGAGAAGGAACTATTTTAAGGTACTGCAGTTATCTGATTCTCGTTGTAAATTCCATTTATATCGTTTTGTATAACGAGTAGCTCGAAGTCCAAGCACTTCGATATTAGGTCATCTCATTGTGCGTATTTTCACTAATAACAAATTTAAACCGTATTTTAGGTTTGCATCGTATTTGAATTAAGGAAAGAATTTTTATTCTTTGACGTACATTTTCCGCAGAAATATTACTTCAGTGGCGCCTTTCTCGTTGCTACCCATTCTGTTTTCGATGTAGTGCTGACCTCTGTGTCGACCCTGGTCCACCATTACTCGATACAGCATGTGACGTATTCGATTCTGTTCCTAAAAACTGGCTAATACGGTTTCGATGGCTTCGTTTCGTTTCATTAAATACCTAGTTGCTACTGAAGGTAACGGATGCCAATGAGAAAACGTTTCAAAAATGCCTTTCGGAAATTGGGCGTACTCCTATGGAGACATTTGTTCGAGGATTTACAACTCTATTTTTCTTACAGTTTTAAAAGAAAAAAAAAACATCTCATGGAGCGTACTATGAGATATCGCACAAGCCGTCGTAGACGAATCGGATGATTTTTGTAGAGATCGAAAATATTGGTGTATGTGATCACCTTCCTAAAGATCCAGGGATAATTTTGACTTATCACAAGTAATTCGATTCTGAAATCAATCATAACGGTATAAGTACCTTCTTTAGCTGATTCGGGGTTGGTATAGGTCTTCGTTGTCGTTGCCGTTGTTGTTGTTATTGCTACTGTTTTTGTTGGTCGATGGCTGACGTTTCGGCGATTTCGCCTTCCTCAGAGCCGTGATGTTACGAGTGGGTAGCCATCGACCAACAACAACAACAACAACAACAACAACAACAACAACAACAACAACAACAACAACAACAACAACAACAACAACAACAACNCAATCATAACGGTATAAGTACCTTCTTTAGCTGATTCGGGGTTGGTATAGGTCTTCGTTGTCGTTGCCGTTGTTGTTGTTATTGCTACTGTTTTTGTTGGTCGATGGCTGACGTTTCGGCGATTTCGCCTTCCTCAGAGCCGTGATGTTACGAGTGGGTAGCCATCGACCAACAACAACAACAACAACAACAACAACACGACAACGGCAACAAAAACCTATACCAACCTCGTATCAGCTAAAGAAGATCAGTTTGTAAGATCATATAAATAAATATATCAACTGTCTATGCCGAGGTTTACAGAAAGTCGGTCTTTTGAGGTATAAGTACCGTTGATGTGTTTCCAGTATGCTGTTCCAAACCCTTCGCAATAGCATATTCATTTGTTGTCGAACGATGTCAACAACGAATAGCCTAGTTTCATCGATCGCTTCCGGACCATCTCCGTAAGCGAACATCATATGACCCGTAATGCTGACAAATTCGCCAATGTTGAAATTCTCAAACTCGCCATGACCTGAAGTGAACAAATTTGAGAATACTTTACCCAAAGAGAACGGATCGTTGGCCGTATGTGTTTGGATGTCTCCGAACTTCATCCGGACTTTATGATCACATTAGATTTTTGTATACAAGGGGACTGCAACTATTTTTTGTATTCTTCAATATTAGCTGAAGTTATGGAATGCTCTTCCATAGCCAGATAGGGGTCTACTATCTCTTGCAACAAATGGTGTAAATCATAATGTTTAGCTTTTATTTACCGCTTACCCGTTTTTCATAGCCGAGTGTTGCGTGGAATGTGGGAATGGTATAAAGTTTAAGCCATAGTAAGGGGTAAAATCTGCTTTACTTAAAGTTAACTAATATCGAGCGATTAATCGTACCAATTCGGTTGTCGAGAAAGCATAATCGGATTGGTTTTACTTTCCTCATGATATTCCAAGGGATCATTTGTTCTCTTTCTTTCTTTTCCGGATACCATAAAGCAAGGTACTTGGTAGTCAACTGTATGCTGTTTCGCATTACGTAGCCATCCTGGAAATGATACAGTATTAAATGAAAACTTTGTGAAAATTACTGGACTAATGATTTTCATACTTCGGGATCGCCATCCTCAATGACTTCCTCATCTGATGCGTTCTTGTTGGACTCATCATCGTCATTCCAATGGTTCAGATGCGGGTAAAATCTCTGGAATCGTGAATTCATCTTTTCACAAAGTTCTTTCAGCTCCTCTTGCCGGTCGTAATCGGCGATATCGTGAAGACTTATATCTTCCAGACGGTCCATCTCGTGTCTAAGCTGTTCGATAATGCTATTTCGATCCATTCCTTCTAGATGGCTGCTCTTGCCAGCGTTTTCCGGTGATGGCGGTGGAGGTGGAGGAACAGGCCCAATCTCCTTTGTTTGTGTAGGACCTTTTTGCTCAAATGGTGGTCTTTTTGACTGTAGTTCTTCCTGAAATTCATTTATTTCCTCTTGATCAACGCTTTGGCGACATGAGATGGAGTCGAAAACATCGACATCGGTTTCCCTTTCGTTATCGGTTTCACTTTCCCAATCAGTTGAGAAGGACTCTCTTGATGCTTCTTCATATTCAACAGGTTCAACGTTGGTGTTTTCTTCGGGTTCACGATAAGAAAGAGATTCCTGTTCTAGTGTTTGTGGAACAAATTGTGGTGGTCCGAACATTACTGGCTGTTCATACGAACTTATGTCCCAAGAATTTGATGGATAAAAGAATGGCATCGCTGGATAATTTCTTACTGGGAACTGATTAATAGTTTCCCTAATTACGGGTTGGATGTACTGATGAGTCGGATCTTGTTGTTGAAGAGGTACACTCGAAACATTGTATGTAGGTGCTTGACTGTACATGGCAGGCGCTATGGGATTACGTTCCATTGAGGGTATATGGTCAAGTTGTTGGGGATACTGGTGAATGGGATACTGAGGAGGATACTGTGGAGGATACTGAGGCAATGTTAGTACAGCTGCCGACGAAGGAAAGGCTGGATTTTCGGTAGTGTGGGTATGAAAAGAGTCGCTAACATATTCCGTTGGTACGTTATATAGTTGTGAAGAATGTGGCATGCCGATGTTTTGAGCACTTTCATCTTGTGCAACTGCTCTGAATTGAGCCATTTGAGGTGTATATTGGGTTTGTTGAAATCTACACGAAAGAGAAGGATCTGTTAAAGCATTAGTTGGAGTAGCTTCAGTCATTTGATTATTCCTTTCTTGAGAAGCTTCATCTCCAAAATCATCTGCCACCAACTCGCTACATTCCTTTTCTTCACGTTGAAGCATCGCAAAAAGTCGATCTACTATAGAGACACGACCTTCTGATTCATCTGTGTCCAGTTGTGTATCATCATCGCCATGGCTCGAATTCGTCAGTTCAACATCGTCAGCTGAGTTCATTTCTTCCGAACTCAAATGTAAAGCTTTCATTGACCAGTTACTGTCACAATTTTTAGGACTTTCATAGCGAATGGTTTCAGCATCTTTACGAGAGGCTCTCCTAGCATTCTGCCCTATAATCGCAGCAGTTTGTTCTGAGTCGCTCAAAGTTACAGCAGAGGATTCACTCGCACATATAGGTGAAGGGACATAGTAAGCTTCGGAGGACATTGCAGCAGACATTGGCAATGAATCAGGAGTATATTCAGGAGTGGAAAATCGAGCATCATCTCGAGGAGACTGAACATTGAGCAGATCATCGCTCTCTTGGAGGTCTGACAAGTACGAGAAATTTGGCGGAACTGAAGCGGGAGCGTTAGCAAGATGATATTCAGAGGTAGCGTCTAACATACCATGGCCAGAATAGGATGTATCTTCAAGGTATTTTGGTGATGAAGGCGTTATTTGGGATTCTAATGTACGTCGAGGAGTACAGACATAGTTGAAAGAACTATTAGTAACATCAACTTCGTAGAAGATTTGGCCATATGTCGAAGATTTGAGGAACGTTGGTTGTTCCACAGGAGCATCTCGATACGAATCTTCAGGTGGAATATAATATGAAGTAGAAGGCTTATCAGGATCACAATGAGTACTTGAAGACTGAAGGGAATCCTGAGACGAGTTCGAGCGAGACCCGTGCATTACGGCGACTTGAATGAGACCACACACGAAGCCCTGCGCTAGAGACGCAGAGGAACCGCACTCGTTGTGGGTGGTCTGATATTCTCACCGGAGGCTCGTAAAGGGAATTGAGGTCATAAACAGTGATAACGTGATTGTGTATGATTACAAGGAAAAGTTTTGACAAAGTTGTTAGAGCTTGCTAGTTATTTTCATACAATGGTTAGCATTTTGATGGTCATGGTAGAAAAAGTACTCTTTTTTTCAAAGCCGCCTGGAGTGGAAAAACTAAAACTGGAAAATGATGTAGTTGAGGAGGAATGTCACCTACTGAGATGTACGAGCTAAGTATGTAGTCTTGAAAACTTTCAGCAAAATAGTGCCTTTCAAAAATTGAAATTTGAGAATTACTAAGAACTGGATATTTTAGTACCAACCTTTTGTACTACCGGGTTTGAACTAGTTGTGAAGCTGAACACCATGGACATGATATCAAGATAGTGTGGCAATTAACATAATGGGCAAACTTGAGTACGTAAATAGCTCCTCTTTGTGAAATGTGTGGGTTTCAGGGCAATTCCTTAGTAATTGAAGCTTGATAAAACCCTAACATGCTTGATGGGCAGCTGTTTCTCCTGGAGTGTCGAGATAGCCGTATCAGAACATTATTAGGTCGGTACTACAAGCAATAATCACAACCCATTGTGGATCGGAGGGAGGGTTACTTCGTGTGACGACATTTGGTTTTAAATGTTAGCATTTCCTGGCATTGTTTAGCTTAGTTGTGCTTCAGAATGAACATACCTGTACTCAGATCAGGTAAACCTAAGGGAGGGGTGTAATTTCCGCTTTATATGACACATCATTACGACAGAGCACTAGATTCCTGAATGGGAAACATAGATATGTTAAGTTTTTAATCTGGAATACGGGGCATTTCTTATGTCAGTTGTTTTTAAGATCTTACAATTGGCTTACATTGCCTAAACATTGCTCATTTTTTGCAGAGGTCTCTATCCGCGTTCATGGACATTGTTTGACGTTAAGGATGTTAACGTCAAAGTCATAATCCGGCAAGTGTCGCCAGTTTTACCAAATAATTACGAGGTGTCCAACGAATTTTTTCTGAACTTCACTTTTTCAATTCGTAGCTGTTAAGGAATGTTTTCATCGTCGTTACTCCCTAAAATGTTGAGAGGTTCTCTTTTAGGATTCAAGTCTTCCAGTTAGTTGCTTTGTTGTAACTGTTCAAAATGATAGTGCTGTTGATCTTGAAGTGTCAATCGCGTTTACATTTCGAAATGGCACCGGAAATCGTCGTTGGGAAAATGAGTCGGAGTGCACTTTTGCCAAATTCACAGATGGGAATGGTAAGTAACTGACAATACTTCGATCACATCTATGTTTCTGAATAATACAGTTGATGTTTTATTGTAATATAGTGAGCGGTATAACACTGGCACACACTATCTCGCATCTACCGTGCACCTATGGCATAGCGACTTCATATAGCGTAAGTTGTTATCAATGATGGGCACATAAATGGCTATCATAGTTACTGGGAGATGTTTCAATGTATTCAGGATGACTACTCAAGTCATGTCTCGGTTTGCCATGGATTCGACCCTTCAAAATCAGGCGCCGCCGTTTGGAATTCTCTTCTGAATACTGGTGATCTTCCAGTGCAAGTACGTTGGAAGTTTCCATGAATCATCATTCAGTAATCGTCCTTCGTTTCGTTCCATAGTATAAGACTGATGCTATGGGTGTAAAAAAAATTGGTGTCCACAGTACGAGTTCTATAGTAAAAGCAATTAAGGATGACGAGTCCCCTACGAGTCCATCGGAATTAGCCGTTGGTGTGTGTAATCGTTTACTACTACCCAGTAAATCAAGTAGGACAGCGGTTTATGCACTAGCATGGGATATGCCCGATGTCGTATTTGGAGCATCAAAAAGATGGTATAAAAGGTGGGCAGAGCTAAAATTTTTAGCGCAGAGCTTTTTTGAGTTTCTGCTTTGGTTCGTTCTTCTGGATATTCATTACGCTAAAGTCGATCATTTTATTTGTTCTCATAGTTTCAAACGAGTCCTATTTTCTTATTAACAGACGTTATACTCGATTCGTTCGAGGTGCTTCTTGTCTTTGTTCTCGAGCACTTAGCCGTCTTGTCCAGTGGGAGCGTGCCCTAGACGAGTGGCAAAACCCCATACTGGAACATCCCAATCTTCCTGACTGGTACAAATCGGCTATATTTAACGAGTTATATTTCATAACTGATGGAGGGTCGGTGAGTGTGCCATTGTTTCTAATATAATGGATTTCGCTTTGTATACTGGATTATTCTGTTCAGCTCTGGTTTGAGTTTGACGATGGGTGGTCGAAGCACGAAACCCATCTAAGTGACTATACAAAGAGTCTTATGCGTCAGTATGGGCGATTTGGTTATCTCGAATGTGAGCATACTGAGAAGTAAATGCTTGCTTCAACTTCCTCATTCTGAAATGCATTCACTTCAGCTTGGGAGTATCGCATGGTAAACACTTATGACGTCCATTTCTATGCTTCGTTTGCGCTGGCGCAGTTATGGCCGAATATAGAACTGACCTTGCAGGCGGAGTTTAGTGAGTAAGGTTTACTAGTGTTTTAGACATGAAATAGATTTTTCATCCATTAAAAAAATGGATAGTTATACGTTCTGATTCATTTGTAGTTACATTAACACATTCGCAGCGATGTGCATTCTATAGAATAACATGCTGCTCACCAACTAGCCGGTATTAACTATATAGGGGTCATTTTCTCTTTTGTGGTCTATTTTGCCATGTAGAACTCTTTTTTTACAACTCTTATAATTAATCGCTAGCTAAAAAATTAAAAGGATAACGTTGTTGGCGTTGCCCAATCCTAGAGGGATGCACCGTGCATTCGACTTTATCAAGCATCATTAGAGGTGATTGAATGCATATCTGGCCTGTACTCGGTGTGGCCTACCGTTATATACAGCCAGTGCTAATATCTTGCCAGACAAGTTTGGTACCAATTCTTCGACGCCGAAGAGATGGAAGAATTGGTGAGCCTGGTGCGCGGTATCGAACCCATGTACGTTGCAGAACATCTCTCACCGCTACGCTACACGCGCCCTCAATGTTAACTCATCCTGTACAAATGCTGTAGCGGATTCTATATTTCTACTATACTTTTATATTCTACTTTTAGAAATATATAGAAATATGGAGAGAAATATATAAAAATATATAACGGCCGTGATAGTGAATGATAGTCATCGCATGGAATGTGCTGGTATAAAAAGTATCGAAATAGGCACAGAGCATGCTTGGCAGATGTCTACAAAAAAAGTGACGCGTATAGTGGCGCAGTGGTTAGAGGCGCCGTGCAACACACATGGGTTCGATCTCGAGCCTCAGATTCACTAAACCTTCCATCCGTCAAGGTTACGCAAATTGATATCACACCTGTCTGGGAGGGTAGCAGCACTGACTTGATACATCAGTAGGCCATCGCGAGTCATTGTGTAGGGCAGCTATGCATTCGATACCTTTTACGATGCTTAGTGACATCGAATGAATGGCGCATTTTTCAGGGAATGATCAATGCCAAGAGCTTTATCATTTTATTTTTCATGTTGCAAGACACTTATAGATGCTTGCAGCAAAGTGTTTATGTCAATGACCACAAGTAAAATGTAATAAAAATAGCACAGATACCACTCTTCGCGGCTTTGTTGACTTGCTAGGTATGCTTTGACGTGAAGATCTATGGACTTATATAAGAGAATGAATTTTTTGGGTTAAGTAAATTGTTGATTACTAAGCAGGGATAAAGGTAATACAAAATCTTCGGAGTTTTTTACATCTGATACTGAATATAGCGGCTGTAATTCAATGAATGAATTGTTTAATTTAGCTGATCAAATTGAGCACTCAGTGGATACTCACATAACGTTCCACATGGAAGGCGACGTTGCGCGACAAAAGACAAGTAGCCGAGTACCACACGATCTTGGAAACCCTGGTAGATTTGATATGACTTTGGGACTGTGATTGTTATAGAATTTTACACATTTGGATGCATCCGTAAGACATTTTTATTTTATTGACGCGTTCTTTTACAAAAATTTCATCCACGGAAAACATTATTTCTACAAGGTTTTCTTTAGCTGATGAGCCGTGGTTGTGCACAAACGCATATGTCATGCATGATACGGGTAAATGGAAGGATCTAAACTTGAAGTTTGTTCTCGCTTCGTGGCGTGACCATATTGCCTTGCCACGATCACTGAACGATTTCTCGCTTCTTGAGCACACATGGCCAGCAGTACAGGTTGGTAATCAAGTGATAAGTACGAGTTTCGTAGTTGGTGGTGGTCTATATTGATAATGGTGGAATCTTTACTTTTTTGTCTTTAGAAATTGATATCTGAAGCAGTGCTACATTGGGACCAGGATGGTGATGGAATGATTGAAAATTTCGGTAGAGCTGATCAAACATACGATGCTTGGCGAATGGAAGGTGTGAGGTATTTGGGAAGTCTTTTATGGGAAAGTTTTCGCATATTACTGAGTATACCAATATATTCGAATTTAAAGTGCCTACTGTGGCTCGTTGTGGTTGGCCTCACTTCGAGTTGCAGCTGAAATGGCGCGCTGTTTGGGATATGAAGAATATGAGAAGCTCTACATGGACATGTTGACACGGGCCAGAAAGGTAGTGTTTTTCTATAGAGTTTATTCTACATAAATATAAAATTCTGGCTTTGGTATTACTCTGCGTAATTTCATTCTTTTCTCAGCCCCTAGTTCTCAGCATTATTAGGTCCCGCAGGCTGCCTAAAAATTTTGTGGATTTAAGGCTTTCATTGACCGATTGTGGACTGGATCATATTTCCGATTTTGTGAGCGTTCTCGAAGTCGTGAATCGATTATGGCAGATCAGTTGTGCGGTGTTTGGTTTTTGCAATCAGTATCGCCTCATCTTGCTGCCGATGTATGTTCGGTTTTTTTCCGCTGTTTTTTGCAATGAGATTGACAATGTTGGTACTTTCCAACAAGTTTTCTCTCTTTCTTTCCCTTATTGGAAACCATCAGTTTGGTTGCTTAATTTTTAGGTTCTACCCAACCACATGGTCCGTTCGGCTTTGAACAAAATTTATGATTTTAACGTATGTCGATTTGCTAGTGGAAAAATGGGAGCAGTGAATGGAATGCATCCCGATGGGCGGGTAGACAGAGAATATATTCAGGTATTAAAGTTGTCCTATCTGACAGCTTTAGTAAACATTTATTTAAATATACATATGCTCGGGAATAATTTGGATTTCCAACTTTAAAAAGCGCAGCTTAGGTACAGTACATCTTGTCAGTTGAAATGGAGTTCGTTAGAAGGTAGAGGTATTTGCCAATAAAACACGATTATTCCGATTCTACCACAGTGAAGTATTGATTCAATGGTGTAGTGCTGCAGGCCATCAGGAAGCAAGGTGCTGGTTCGACCCTATCCCTAACCCTGTCTTCCAGTCTACATGGGTACGCCTTAGTTTATCTATCTCCAGTATTGCAAGGAGAACCGACTTGACCAGCATTTAATGATATTCCTGAAGAAGACGACAATCCTCAAGCAACAGCCGAAACAACACGTGAAAAGTTTGAAGATTTTTGTGGACGATGAGTGCGAAGAAGACGAATCGAATGCAAGAAGTGCTGGGATCCGCACAGTGGATATAATGATGGGTCATGTGAAGTAAGTATGGAACTAATGATTTTCTGGAGCTCACATATCTTTCCTCGTGTTTGATGTCAAAACCTCATAGAACAACGAAGCGATTGGGTAAGCGGACTTTCGTCTAGCAGCGTGCGATAATGCTTTCGAACGTATCGCTGAAGTTTATGGTTGCCGTCTTGGTATTGAAACATTTACGAAATGTTTAGTTACTCTTCAGGATTCTTAAAAATTTTAGCTATAAAAGGTTTTAAAAGTACGATAAAATGGTTGGGAGAAATTCTTATGTTGAGGTATATATTATATCCCTAGAGCTACATAACAGCTTTCTCCGAATATTAGGCTCATTTTCGTAGGTATGTTAATATAACGGCGATGGTAATGCAACACGGCTAACGTTCTAGTAATCTGTTTATGCCAGGCTGATGAGGCATGGACAGGAGTAACGTATGCTGTCGCTGCGTTTCTTTTACAACAAGGAGAAGTGGACAAAGCATTTCATACGGCTTCTGGCTGTTACGAAGCGTGCTTCGAACGTGCCGGATTACAATATCAGACACCGGAGGCTATTTATGAGACGAGGTCCTACTAGTTTACTTTATAATTTATTTTTTGAGTTCTTCGCAGGAATTCTGCTCAATTTGTTATTTTGTTCGGTGCATTTTGTTCGTAAGCATCTTCTCAGGTTGGGTGACTTGTGGCAATGGACCTTTTCATGTTTGCTGACCGGAAGTAAAAAATATTTAGACTTGCTAAGTTAGTTTGAAACGCATACAATCCTCCGACGTCATAGGGATTCTTGTGCATTGTTTGAAGCGAACAGAATCATCGCTAGGAAGAAGTAGAGTTATTGCTCGAGAAGGGGTTTTAATTCCAGTTAGTACAATCTGGTAGAATTAATTCAATTCCTAACACGAGAATGAGGTAAAACAGTCGCTTAGACAAAGAATCTTGGTTTATACAGGGAAGGAAAACTGGACAAAAATATCATATCTTACGCAGAAAAAGGCGGAACAACTCAGTTTAGGGACAGTAAAAGATAAAGGATAGGGCGCTCGGCGTTCATCAATCTCTTAAGCATCCGCCATGCATTCGATTTCATCAAGCATCGTACTAGTAACTGAATACATATTTGGCCTGTACAATGACTTACGGTGGCTTGCCTATCTGTCAGGTTAGTATTGCTATACTCCTAGACAAGTTTGGCACCATTTTTTTCAACCGTGGAGCGACGGAAGGCTTTGTGAGCCCTGTGTACGGGATCGAACCAGCGATCGGTTAGGTGCATATTGCAGGTCACCTCTAGCCACTGCACTACAGGCATCCTGTTGAACTACAAACCCCCTAATGCAGAGACAGTGTGAGTGCAAATCTACGTAGAGCTGGATACTGCACTTTTAGTTCGACAGTCAAGAAATTATTTACGCAGGCTATTAAAGCACTAGTTATCTTTATACTCGCACCATTTTTTCGGCTCATAGATTTAATCGTGTTGATCATTCATCATTTGCGCCCTATTACTAGCCAAGCTCTATTACTAGCACTACTTACTACTAGCATCACTTGGCTTCGTAAGTTGTAAGCGCATGGTAGCTCTCGTATACAGTCTTTCACTTCAGGTGTTGGAGAAAACCGCAATGGTGTAAGTCTTGTTTGTTGTCGATTTTTTATACACGATCCGTCTTGTTTTGCTTGTTTTCTGTTCCTAAATTTTGAGATCCTGTGAGGTTTTCGGTACAGGTTCTTCCTTTCTGTTGTGCGTACCGTGGTTCGTGTTCATCAACCATTTCACAATAAAACGAAGGGTCCTTCGTTTCGCCTGTCTCGCAGCTAGTTCTATCGATCTCTGCCGTCAGCAATCACCCGTCGCGCGATTGATCTGTGGAGCCCAAATCGGCAATGAACTCAGTTAAGCTGAGGCTTTAGTTTAGGGTCAGTCCCGCATGGTGTGGTGGTGAACGCGTTACTCCCTGGGAAGGACAATAGCGCGTTCGTTCCCCACCGCATACACCTGCGGTCCGGAGTTTTGCAAATATCTCAGCATCGTTGAAGTTATATTTCGCAATATACCCTGCCATTAAAAAAGGAGTAGGCAGTAAACAATGAGTTGAAATTGCTATCTCAAGAAGAATTTGAAGAAATCAAATTGTGGTAAATTTTTGTAATGTATTGCTATTTTCAGGTTCTACCGTGCCATTGGTTACATGCGACCGTTGAGTATTTGGGCAATGCAGTGGGCTATAAATCGTCATTGTGACCTAAGTTTATTGAAATATGAAATGTCATCAAATGAGAAGACGCAGCTTTCCATAAAGAAACTGGTGCGAATTCGTGCGGGCGACGATTCGACGAGCGAGGGTTATGCAAGTGAGGAAAGAGACGGTAAACAGTGAAGCAGCAAACAACAGCAATAGTGGTGTCCGCGAGGACAACAATAGCACTAACTCGGTTTGCCTACGGTAGCTACTTTGTTCGGTTTTTGTAAAATCAGGATCTTTCGAAATTTATGTTGAGCTGCTCTAACTCCGTTCATTCTTTTCATTTTTATAGTTTTAATTCATCGTTGTTGCCTGTCGCATTAGATGACGTCATCGTATTCTAAAGAAAAAAGGATGTACATTCAGTTGAAAATGCAATTCAAATGTGTAACTGCCACGACCGACTTTCTATTAACCTCGGCATTGATCAAGTGATTTTGTTCGTATTTTTTGAGCAAACGCGAGGTGTTATTGTTCTTTGTTCGCGATTAAGCTGACGTTTCGGCGAATTTCGCCTTCTTCAGAGCCGCTTTCTATGAGGTCTCCACTAAGTATGTCACGTAGAGACCAACCGCACAGAAATCACGTGGAAGTATAATGTGCACATTATACTATACTATATTACTACTTACTATTAATTCGCCGAAACGTCAGCTTAATCGTGAACAAAGAACAATAACACCTCGCGTTTGCTCAAAAAATACGAACAAAATCAAATGTGTAAGTGCTTACAGTAAATACCTAGTAGGAGTTAAGGCTCGAACATGTTGGTGAATAACTTTTCCGACTACTTTTTGAGTTTATCTAGCCGTCAAACAGGATGGAATTGGTTTTTGCTATGGTTTTATCATTTTTCTTACTCTTTCTAATCTTAGCAGTATATTTATAAATATTTTGTCTATGGTAAACTCTAATTCACCTGCATCACTTCTAAGTCTTTTGATTATCCAGTGACTTAATTGGGCAGTAGGGAAGTCTCCATTCATCGCCGCCTCTTGCTAATGTTGCCTGTAGATGGAACTCCTTCCGCACTCCTTTTTTTAAAAGAGAAATTTTTACTTTTGTTGTTTAGCGACATATCAACCTCACAAATATCTTGCCGTACTCTGTCGGGATGAGGATTGGGTACATTCGCGGGTAGTTTGTTAGTTCCGGAATAAACGGGCCTATTTTTCGCCTCCCAGCCCAGGTTTCTTACTTTTATCCGGATCGATATGCACAGCACAATTCGTTTACGCGTATGAACATGTAAATATGACTACGTATCCATGAAATGTATAAGTTTATTAGGCAAGGCGAAGATAGTAGGCTATTCCATGGAGTCCAGGTAAGCATAATCTCCTTATAGGTTTTCTTTTTAGCACTCTATTTGTTATTTGAGGACAAACCACGTTTTCCTTATGTTCAAATAATTCATCCACAAATTCCTACGTGAATTAGGTACGTCGATTATTAAATTAGAGAGAATAAATATCAGTATTCCTTTTCGATTTGAGCCTTCCAAAACTTTATTTTAGTGTCTGATTCAGTTATTTTACTTTCACTTTCTTCCGGTTGCTAGATCACCCTTTAAGAGTCGAATGAGTTTGCACTTTTCAAATCCTTGCTATGGTATTTTGCCAATTACGGTGTTTTAAAATTTATCATAGGAATAATTGATCATTGGCAGTCAATACATAAATATGTTGCTCCACATCTTTTTAGGACGATGTGTTGTGAGACTTATTGGTGAATTTACTAGTGTGTACTGGTAGTCTCAGTAATTCTCATCTCAGATTTGAGTTTGCGGAGATATTCGACTAGACATGATTGACGTTGAATTCTGTGTTCTACTTCCGGCTTGGGCATCGAATTTTTTGTATGTAATTATTTAGACATATAAACCCAGTAACTTGAGGAGTTAATCATGCGATAAGAGATGTAGGAAGCTTGTGCAGTGGAGAGCATATATAGCACAAGCTGATTAATTGTCTCTTATTCACGGGAACTTTACAAAGCTTATAATGTTTTCTTCATTTTCGTTTTAGGAAGCTGTGAAAGTCGTCTTTAGCGATTGAATTGATGAATAGTGAACAGTAGATTTTTTTTAGTATCACTTTGGTCTTGCGGTTCAGTTTGTTGTTGTGTTTGCATTTTTGCCTTCTTGTTTTTGCTTACATGTATTTTCGGTGGAATTAAGTATTTTTAATTTTTATGCTCTAACACACTGTGCTAATAACTGCTTTGTTTTCATTGCCAGTTGTTGTTTATTTTCCAGAGCGGCTGTTGATCATATTTTGAAGAATGTATCAGCAGTTTCTATTTTAGCTTGTTTGATCACTTTGTTTTAGAGTATGCTCAACGCCTCTGTTGCAACTATTCATGCTTCGTGTGTTCAGGTTCTACGCATATGATTATAAATGTTACTATGATTTTTTGGCTAATTTCTTTTGTCAGCATCGTTCAGGCGGTTTTTACTGACAGATTTTGGTGGTATGAAACAAATGTTGTTCGTTAACACCTAGGATCTGAAATTGGTTTTGCGAAATCTGATGTCAATTTTTGAGAATCCTAAAACTTGGGGAATTGAAGACGTGGTCGACTTATAGAAGATGCTCCATGTATTCGAGAATAATTATGGTTCTTCATAAGTTTTATTTGATTATTGAAGTTCTTTACAGTCAAATTTTCTAAATAAATGGAAACGAAGTTTGAATCTTTGAAATTCATAACGAAATCTTGGCAGTCATAAACATCAACGACATATTTTGAGACATCATGACGTAGTAATGGACAAGATGGCGCTTGTTCAATGGTTTTTATTTTCGAAAGCAATTTTCATCTTTATGGAATAGGAAGTCTTCTGCTTTATTATTGAAGAAGAAAAGCTGGAAGTGGGCATTATATTCGTACCATGAGTGGTAATCAACTCACGCTGAACCTACTTTTTAAAAGTTAAATTTTTTGGAGTTCATATGGTTTTCTTCTGAATAGTTTGATTATTATTTGACAAAACTTCAAATTGACGATGTCAAATTCCTTAAATTCCGCGGAATTTAAGGAAAACTACGAACAACATTGTGTTCCTGGTGTTAGTGATAAGGAAGACAATAACCTCCTTGTAAGGGACTGGAAATAAACATTTGCGATTTTAGGACGTATACTCATTGAAGTAATTTTTGTCCTTTCGCCAGATCCAGTGGTTGATTTTGTCAAGTCGCTAGTTTCGTAGTTGACCATATTTTGTGAAGCAATGCATTTCGCAGTAGCGATGTTTGATTTACTTGATAGGTATAATCACAATCTTAACCTTTTTATTTACTGCCTATTCTTTTTAACAGGAGAGTATGTTGCGAAATACAACTTCTACAATGCTGAGATATTTGCAAAACTCCGGACCGCAGGTGTCTGCTGTGGGGAACGAACGCGTTATTGTCCTTTCCGGGGAGTAACGCGTTCACCACCACACCATGAGGGTCCTTCGTTTCGCCTGCTTCTCAGCTAGCTCTATCGATCTCAGCCGTTAGCAATCACCCGTCAGCGGGATTGACCTGGGAGCCCAAATCGGCAGTGAACCAAGTTAAGCTGAGGCTTTAGTTTAGGGGTCAGACCCTCATGGTGTGGTGGTGAACGCGTTACTCCGCGGAAAGGACAATAACGCGTTCGCTCCCCACCGCAGACACTTGCGGTCCGGAGTTTTGCAAATATCTTAGCCTTATAGAAGTTACTTGGTAGGGTCAAAAACAGCTTCGATAGGAATAGAGGAGTTTTCAAAGTAGCAGTAAATGCTGTAAGAAGATGCTGGCGGTCAGCTCTTATCTCTTGGGCTGTCTGCTCATAACTTTCCATGGAAGTCTGGTTTGTAGCTTTTGCATGTAATACGCTTCTGCTGTTTTTTTTTCACATTGTCCTATAGGGACAACTGGTTTCGTAGGAAGGCCGGAAATGTGCTTTATCAATCAATTTGGGAATTTACAGTATGCTGTCAGCTCGGTATCGCTTGTTCTTTTTCACGGCGCAGTTCTCTTCCACAAAAGCTCCAGCTGAACTACGAATGACACAGCTATTAAAGGATAAGATCGTCGGTGCCACAGAAGTTGAAGTCAACGACGTTTCCAGTTAGTTTCATGTATCTTTCTGGTAACTCGAAAGACCGACTTTCTATATACCTCGGCATAGGTAGTTGATATATTTATTTATGTGATTTTATAAACTGATCTTCTTAAGCTGACGCGAGGTTGGTACAGATCTTCGTTGTCGTTGTCGTTGTTTCTGATGTTATTGATCGACGGCTGACGTTTCGGCGACTTCGCCTTCCTCAGAGCCTGCACGTACTTTGTGTTAGAATACTTTTTATTATTCGGTGGAAAAGAAGGTTAAAGTATTAATGAAGATCAAACTTTCAAATAGAAGCCATATTGAACAGAAAGGCCACTCACCGTGATGTTACGTGCGCGACTGCCCACACGTAGTTCACGTGGAGTCGCGAGCAAGACACGCCTCGGGGTCAAAATATCACTTTGAAATAGGGCGCCAGGTCACGCGTGATAGTGAGGCATTCGTCCTTCCGGTTCATCTTTGGATTTTTGAAATTTATCCAAAACGCCTCAAGAGTTTTGCGCGTTGATGTTTTTGATTCCTGCGCTAGGATCCGCACATTCACTTCAAAATCATCGCCGTTGTGCTTTTGTGCCCTATGCGTACCTAGAGGGGTGTTTAAACGGATTTTAGCTTTCCCATCCAGATGTTCTTTTATGCGGACACAAAGTGGTCTACCCGTTTCCCCGATATATTCCTCGCCTCATGCGTTACATGAGATCAAGTATATTATACCTAAAGTCATGCAATCCCCGTCTCTCCCGTTGGGACAGATCATACAGTTTTCTGAGCTGCACAAACGATCATAGAGACGGTTTCGAACTAACTGGCGGCGCAGGGTATTGGGTCGGATGTCAATAATCGTTACATAATTTTTAAGACCACTTTTTCTTAAGCACTTTTTAATGGCGTGACTTACTTCATTTGATATGAAGGGTAGCTTAAAGGTGATCTTACTTGCGTCCGAAACATTATTTTGGGGAACTACCCAACGTTTTCCTCTAACCCGAGTGGCTTCTACTTCATAGCCATTGGAAATGGCTATTTTTCGTGCCAGGTTTTGCGATTCCTTCCTTTCCTCTTCTCCTGTACACACATTTTTAGCAGCACGGTAGATGTTTTTGACAAGTGCTTTTTTCATGTGTGAAGGATGAGAGGAGAGGCAGTGAACTAGAATGTTTTTACTACTTGGCTTGCGATACCACTTTGTTACATAGCCACTTACTGAGAGCTTTATTTGGAAGTTTAAGAATGGAAGCCAGTTCTCGGTAGGTTTTTCTCGTGTAAATTTTATATACTCTGACTGTCGGTTTAATAATTCAAAGTATTCATCCATCTGCTCTTGTGTAGAACAGACGATAAAGCAGTCGTCTATGTATCGACAGTAGAGTAAGGGTCGGTGATCGAGAACTGGAGCTTCCACCTTAGACATGAAAGCGATGGCAAAGCTTGGTGCTAAACGCTGCCCCATCGCCAACCCTCTAATTTGTGCAAAATATTTTCCAGACCACCTAAAGATTGAACACCTAAGACACTGTTTTAAGAGGGTCATTAGTTGCGCAATCGACAAGCCGTGCATTTTAACCTTCTTTCCATGCTCTACGAGCAACTCGAGAATGGCTTGCATTGCAGTCATTGGACACGTTGGTATAAAGTGAACTAACATCGAATGACTCCATTATATGCGTGCTGTTTGGTTGCGCGCGCCTTAAGTGATCTAGAAATATTTTGGTGTTAGGTAGGTGGGTTGGGATGAATTTTAGCAGCTGGGTTAGAATAAGGTTTAGGAACCACGTTATTCTATCCGTTGGCCCGCCTATACAACTGATGATAGGTCTAACTTTATATGATCATGGGTTCGTTGACGTAATATCATCAGTTGAAGTAAGCTTATGTGTTTTAATAAGCAAGTAAAAGACATTTTGAATTGAAAAAAAAGATTTTGAATTCAAAAGCTCTCTAACCTGGCGCATGCCACATTTTTGTTGGGTTATGAGGTTGGAGATTCTTTTTCGTTTTTAGTAGTGATTAAGTATGCGGAGAATTTCGTCCGAAGATAAACGAAATGTAGAGTCAATATCGCTATTTGGTAGCTCTTGTTTAAAGAAAGTTCGGGGAAAGAGTATTGGTAGTAGTTCCCCCCTTGATGCTACTTTACTTAACCTTTCTAGCCTAACCCTGTAACGTAGCTGATCTTGAAGTTCATGTAGACTACACGTGATCCTGCGCAGGATTGGTTTAGAAATGGGTTGACTAGGTGCAAAACTCGGACCCAATTCTATCAAGGAACGCACATTTTCCGGAAGCGTTATACCTCCTAGCATAGTAACTCTGGATGTTCTTGGTGCGTAGTCTATTTCCAATGGCTACGAAGTAGAAGCCACTCGGTTTAGAGGAAAACGTTGGGTAGTTTTCCAAAATAATATTTCAGACGAAAGTAGGATCCCCTTTAAGCTGCCCTTCATATCAAATGAAGTAAGTCACGCCATTAAAAAGTGCTTAAGAAAAAGTGGTCATGAAAATTATGTAACGATTATTGACATCCCACCCAATACCCTACGCCGCCAGTTAGTTCGAAACCGTCTCTATGATCGTTTGTGCAGCTCAGAAAACTGTATGATCTGTCCTAACGGGAGAGACGGGGATTGCATGAGTTTAGGTATAATATACTTGATCTCATGTAATGCATGCGGCGAGGAATATATTGGGGAAACGGGTAGACCATTTTGTGTCCGCATAAAAGAACATCTGGATGGAAAAGCTAAAATCCGTTTAAACACCCCTCTAGGTACGTATAGGGCACAAAAACACAACGGCGATGATTTTGAAGTGAATGGAGCGCAGGAATCAAAAACATCAACGCGCAAAACTCTTGAGGCGTTTTGGATAAATTTTAAAAATCCAAAGATGAACCGGTAGGACGAATTCCTCACTGTCACGCGTGACGTGGCGCCCTATTTGAAAATGATATTTTGACCCCGGGCCGTGTCTTGCTCGCGACTCCACGTGAACTACGTGTGGGCCAGTCCCGCACGTAACATCACGGTGAGTTGCCTTTCTGTTCAATATGGCGTCTATTTGAAAGTTTGATCTCATTAATACTTTAACCTTCTTTTCCACCGAATAGTAAAAGTATTCTAAAGTAAAGTACTTCCAGGCTCTGAGGAAGGCGAAGTCGCCGAAACGTCGGCCATCGATCAATAATATCAAAAACAACGACAAGGACAACGAAGATCTGTACCAACCTCGCTTCAGCTTAAGAAGATCAGTTTATAAAATCACATAAATAAATATCTTTTTGGTACATATTTTCTGTTCAGAAGCTATGACATGTTGTCGTGTAGTTTCAACAACAGTTTGATGGTCGTATGAAATCTTTAATTCCTTGTATACCGGAGTCTCAGTAGTTGACTTAATGCGACAGTGCGGTGATATCACATTTTCAGGAGTCATGTTTTGTTAGCCGATTATTTCTAGTGCTACCAAAGCACATCGTTGCTGATTTTTGCTAAGAATTCTCTTTTTTTTAAAATCGGAATAGGATATGAAAGGGATGTTGAAGGGAAAGGATGCGGCAGTAAAATTAGCATAGTAACGAACGGGTGTTGGGTAATTCGAAGGTATCGGTTCTGGAAGCGATTCTCATTAGTGCGGTGATGACCACTGAAAACACGAACGTACGTTTGGGTATTACTACCGGACAGACAGGATGACAGAAATGCAATGGTTTGAGATCTCCTAGAACACACGCATTGTCGTTGGTTCTACCATGAACTAGTCTCTCAATCCTAGCATTCTTCCGGAGTTACCATATTGGTAGTTCATTTGTCTGGCGAATTTTCCTTCCGATGCAGATAGATCGGCGGCGGCAGGTAATGAGTACATGGTTATGCTGTAGCAGGATTATCGGGAGATTTCGGGAGAAACGCATTCGTTGGGAATTCAAGGACATTCGCGAACAACTCAAAATTCTGACATTATAACCAAACCCATGGGAAATTTGAACGTCTTTGAACTATGGGCGAATTGAACAGAAAGCGATCTGTACAGTATATGAAGGAGTCAAATAAATAAAGTAAAAAGAATTAATCAAACACATGATGTGGCGTTTTGAACGTTTAGGGCTTCTCGACAAGATGGTCTCTCTGTACGACGAGATCGAGGTCTCCCGAATTCGACCATGCATGACTTGGAGGAAGCACTTTGCTTCATTCGTAGCAAAATGAGCCTATTCATGTGAATCAACATCTGCAATAGCTATTTCTGTTACTTCATATACACCGATAAGATTTTCTGATAGTCACAATTTTGCGGACCTGCGCATCTTTGCATGAAAATTCCCAGTCTTACACCGCAAAATTGAGTTACACAGAAATAATGGAATGAAACTACATCATCATGTCTCATCAACTTTGAAATGGCCACGATAATCTCGAAGATCCCGGCGCTAAATTTTCCGAGTTGCAAATTCTACCGGAAAAACGATGTCCAGGAGATATTCAGAAAGTTGCACACTATTTCTATTAGAAGGGCACGTGTGGTGTATAGGTCGGTGGCGCCCTGCAAAACACGTGGAATCGATCAACGCGCCCATGGCCCACCAAGTCCTCCATGCGGGGTCGGCAAATTGGTCTTGTCCGAGAGAATAGCAGCACTAGCTCGATACATCGGTAGGCCACCGCGAGTCATTGTAAAAGGCCAGATATACATGCATTCACCTCCAAGCGATACTTAATGAAGTGGAATGCATGGTGCATCCCTCAGGGATTGATCAACACCGAGAGCTTTATCCTTTTTTCCTTTTATCGCTATTAGTGGTGAGTATATCACTAATTGCAATCTGAAATCCGATTGGAAACGCTTTAATCCGGCTATCTCAGGACTCCAGGGAGAATCGATCCGATCATCATTCTACGACATTAAAGACGATAAAAAAGTCCTCAAGCAGCAGTCAAAGCCACATGTAAAAGTTGGAAGATATTAGTAGACGATGGATGCGAGGAAAGGAATCGAATGCGAGAAGTGCTGGGATCCCCACAGTAGACGTGAAAGACGTGTAGTTTAAAAAAATCATTAACGCTGAGAGTCACGTTTTCAATAAATGAAACCACTAATGGAAATATGGTCAATATTGGTAAGGATTTTTGTTGCCGTTCGATATTTGACTTCAGGTGAATGGCTGGAGCATCTATTTATCATGAATATTGAAGTTTTTATAGTGGGCTTTTTGATTCAGGTGGATGCGGGTCAATGTTTTCGATAGTTGTAGAGGCGACATCTTTCAAAGGTCTCTCAAAGGTTGCTCAACATAAAATGATCACAGGTATAGAACTTACGGTACTTTTCAACTTTTCTGGACTTGGCGAACATCAATACTTTGCCTGGATAAAGTTTAGGAATTCTGAAGGACGAAATCAGGGATATGCATGGCCTTTCAATTACAACTAAAGCACCTAAATGAGAAAACTCGGCAATGGATAGATATTTTTAATAGGTCGCCTTTTAATATTATTCTCACAGTGGGTGCAGTCATCTTCGGAGGAAGTAAGAATTGATTTTTCTTGATAAATCTTACATAAACGAAATACCTGCAAAGCAGGAACACAAGTTTGACATCTCAGTTCTTCGTGGATTTCTTCGACAGCTCCTCAGCTGTAGTTGGAGCGAAAACAAATCTTCGTTCTGTTGTTTCAAATGGTTTCAAGACCAACGCTGTAGGAATGAAACTTTATCATAACTTGTGATATTTAAGAATTCAAATGATATAATCGGAAATCTTCTTGATAGAAGGTGATGCTGAGCGACTTTAGGGATCGACAGCAGAGAGCAGACAGCAGATACAGGAATCTCACAGATCTTATAAGGTATAAAGAAAAAGAAATCGAGAAGAGGAGATCGCATCAACAATCTAAGATTGACTAGCCAAGTTTCAATGTATAATCTTAAAGCTGTTGGATCCAAGAGTATTTTCCTGTGATAGATTGGATCTTATTTTAAAAACAATGCAACAGAAGCGATATTCCATTTGTGGACATCTGAACATGGCATCATCACCGTTGCGATATGATCACTACGGGTAGCGTCGTTGTACAGTGGTACGGCTATGCACTCGCTTTCCTTATACACAGCTGGAGAACCCTGAATGAAATGGAACGAGTTGAACTGAACGAGAAAGAAAAACTTTTTGCGTTAATGAAATTGTTCTAAAGTAGTAATGAACTGTACTGAAAGCCATTAATAACTCTGCTGATGAAAATTTTGCAGCGGTCTTCCTTACGTCGTAGAGGTGATAGGATGTACAATATGCCCAGTTAATTGGGCTACACGAAATTTTTTCAGGGCGTAGAACAGTGTGGCAAATAAAATCAAAATGATGCTGAGACACAATGTTTGACCTTTTATTTCCCTGGTGCAATCTTTAAGGTAGGGTATCATGTGAAATACAGCCAAGATGATGCTGAGATATTTGCAAAACTCCAGACCGCAGGTGTTTGCGGTGGGGAACGAACGCGCTATTACCCTTTGCGGGGGCTAACGCTTTCACCACCACACAATTCGGGTCCTTCGTTTCGCCTCTCTCTCAGCTAGTTCTATGGATTCGTGCCATCAGCAATCACCCATCAACGGGATTGTAGCAGGCAGAAAATAAGAAGTAAAGCATCGTGATTTCAACTACAGCCTCAGCTCAGCTTAACTGGGTTCGATGCCAATGTGGACTCCCCTGATCATTCTCGTTAACGGGTGATTGCTGATGGCACGAATCCATAGAACTAGCTGAGAGGCAGACGAGACGAAGGACCTGCATGGTGTAGTGGTGAAAGCGTTAGCCCCCGGAAAGGGTAGTAGCGCGTTCGTTCCCCGCCGCAAACACCTGAGGTCCGGAGTTTTGCAAATATCTCAGCAACGTTGTGGATGCTGAGACATTTGCAAAACTTGGATTCCAGGCCAGATCGAACCGCAATTACCCTTTCCTGAACCACACATGTTACCCACTGCACCACTGAAGTGCTTGTTTTGCTTTTTTCTCAGCAAGTTTTTTACCGAATCGTGCCATCAGCATTCACCCGTTAACGGGAGTGATCTGAAAAGCAAGGATCGTCATCAAAGCCAATTAAGCTGTGGCTGTATTTGAAATCATAATGTTTCACTTTTTATCTACTGTCCATTATTTTTTTTCACAGCAGGGTAATTATATGAAATACAACCAGAAGGTTGCAGAAATATTTGCAAAGCTGTGTTCAATATCGGATCATTCCTCTTGACAGGTAATTGCTTATGGCACCGTTGGGGTACAAAAAACTGGCTGAGAAGAAGGCAAAGCAAGGACCTCAGTGGTGGAGTGGGTAACATGTGCACTCCTGAAAAGAGCTATTGCTGGTTGATTTGGCCTGGGATCCAAGTTTTGCAAATATCTCAGCATCATTGTGGTTGTATCGCACATAATACCCTGCCGTGAAAAAGATAACAGGCATTGGATACAAAGTTAAACAGTATGGCAAATGGCTTAGAAGACCGACCATCTATAAAGCTCATCATAATCGATATATGTATATATATTTCTACGAACCATGCTTGTTTAGCTGATGTGAGTGAGGTTGTATGGCAAATGTTTTTCTGCTTTAGAATGAATTGCAGAATAAGTAAATATGGATAAAAAGCGGATAAAATGCACTATTTTCGTCCATCCAAAGGTTAGTTGTGGAGCTTCGGTGATCGGTGGGCTGTTAGTAGATGTGTCACGTAACTGCCCATCAAATAGCGCACCTTGCAGAAAGATTCCCTGAATCAGTACTTTTTATTCTTGTTTCGATAAGGAAGGATTTTGTTTGGCGTAAGCCTTTCATTCGATTGAAAGGAATAGCATAGTTTAAAGTTTTAAAGAAAAGTTTGTTCATTATGTCTGGTAAAGCATCAAACTACTTTATGGGACACAAGATAGATGAATGAGGAAGAAAAAGAAGAGAACGAAAGGATAGATTGGTGGTGTCATTGAATGTGGTCAGTTGATAACTGGCAAATAAAATAAAGTTTTCGATATCCGTAGTGTAATGTATATTCTTGTTTTAGAAAAAAAAAATCTTTTTTTATTTAAGTATTTACCAAGTTTACTTTGAAGGACTTCAATGGAAGAACTGGAAACGGAAGGAGTACATTGTCACATTCTCGGAAGGATCAGTGGCCAGTTGAGATGTTGAATGAAAGTGGTTTATCTACGGCGTGTATTTTTTAAGGTAACTTACTCCCTGGGATGACTGGATATCAGTCGGCACCGGAGAGCCTTGATGTCACAACCAACATAGAAATATATGCATTTTAAAGAAATCTTATAAGTTCTTTCGAACAGAAAGTGGTATCTGTTTAACACACTCGTTGAACACACATTGTACTGGGTATGATCACTGACATCAAGGATTTCATTCATCCACAAGCGAGGAAAGGATAATTATCACTGCAGTAGTGGACGGCGAATCACGAATAACGAAAAGATTTTTGTTTAAATCTGTTCCGCACATGATTGGAGCACCGATGAGAAACTGGTTGAGCATTAGCTAGTTGTCCAAATACATATCTATGTGTGTCGGATGTCTGTCCCAATCAATCTTAATCTTATTTAATATTTGAGCAGCCCGTCTTCACTGGTTATGCGAGCCCCAGCATGATCACCACTTTTCGGAGATTTGTTGGTCAAACCACTGTGGTTCCCTGGAGTCTCGAGGGCAGTCTAGACGAAGCATTTCTCAGATCGTCGCAACCACAGGCAGTCGCAGCCCTTGTGGATTGGAGGGAGATTTGCAACCATGCGATTTTGATACCAGGACAGTGGTGGATCCTGGTATTGGTTTACTCTTAGTTAGGCTTCCTGATGGAAATGCCGGACTCTTTCTCAGCTTGGGAGACCCTACCGGGATACGAATCCCCCCACTGTACATCGCAGTCCGACACCCAAGAGCACCTGCCAGCCAAGGTGAGGCGGTAGACCGTTGGGAGGCCCAGTCAATCACAACTGCAAAAGAACCTTAACGAAGAGCCATACATCTGCACACAATACAAAAATATGCTAGATACGTCATGGGCCCAGCTAAGCAGTAATGGGATTCCTATTAATCCTTTCATTATATTTAGTGCTAAACAGCATCACAACCAATTTTGTTCTACGTAAAAGGTGCCAAATGCTTTGGTTTTTGCCACATATCATCGTAAGGAAAGGATTCGCAACCAGCGAGTGTTCCTCTGCGTAATATTTTACCTCAAACATGGGGTTTTAAAACTATCGCACAATTCATTGCCTAAATTTTTTAGTGTTCAGAAGAGTTCCTCTGAAAGTTTTATTGTACAACCGACACTGAAGCGAGTTTCATACTCATACTCAAACTTTTGACATGACCTATAAGGTTATAAGATCCCGCGCAAAATATTAACATCTAAAACAGAACATGGTTGGGTTGGTAATTCTCTGGAACAACAACACTTAGACCAGTTAAGCACTGGGTGGATCACATAATGATGGAGACGTTCTTGAATGAGGCCACTCAAAGAACTGTCGAGATGTTCACGTTAGCATTTCCAGGACCCGGTTGTCGTCTTACTCGCATAACATACTCGAAAAAATCACCATTTATGGAGTAAATCACCAGCACGGATGACCACTGCCAGGGAACAAAACGTGTAGAAATTGCACTCACTTGGCATGATTGCAAATGTGCGGTGGCATAGTTAAGAGCTATTTCACATTAACATTCAATATGCATAGAATTCATCAAGAAACAACGAAGAAACGGCGAGTTCTCAAGAGACTTCTGAACATATGCGAGAGAAAAAAGAACATACATTGACTTTAATTGTAATGTTCTGCGCAAGAAGCGATGAATCCCATGCCGACGTGAGTCGTAACGTATCCATTGTACAACTGTTGGCTCTAAAAAAACATGGCATGCATGTTGGTAACATTGAGGAGAATTGAAGCAGACGAGATTGCTCATTCATAAACTCCTAACTACTGGATCTGAAGAGTTCCAACGTTTTTAATGATGACACTGAAAATTGGTTGAATTATATTATTACATATGGCCCGCCTGCTAAGATTGTTCATGGTAGTTTCGTACGACGTAAGGTTACAGGCACGTTGCATACCTTGCCGTCATCTGTCGAAGCGCATTCAGCAGTCTACCAGGGCGGAATAGCTTTGAAAAATCGACGGATGTTTGACGGAAATCGAGTTCTTCGGAACGGGATGCGAGTTCTTGTACTGACTTTGCCTGCAGCAAAGTCTGTTTTGATTCTCATGGCTAAGAAAAGGTCCTAATGTAATGTTACATTGCAATAAACTACTCTAGAGCTTCAACGAAGCTGAAATATTTGTAAAACACCGGACCGTAGGTGTCTGCGGTGGGGAACGAACGCGCTATTGCCCTTTCCTGGGAGTAACGCGTTCATCACCACATCATCCGGGTCCTTCGTTTC